TTTGATAAACATTGAAAGTAAATAATAAACAGCCTGTTTTAATTATCCTTTCCTTCCATTCCACGTTTCTCCCAGCCTAGAACAACATTCCCACTTGGTGTTACAGATTAACAGTGAATACAGTTTGCTAGGAGTCTGAGACATTCGCGAAAATGTGTGGGAAGTTAGTTGTTCACAAAGGCGCTAGAAAATAGGGTCTCAGTAGGGTCGCCTAGAAGCATGGACCCGATGCGCCAAGAACATATGAGTAGATGGGGCCCACAATGCTGTTAAGACGGCCTTGGGTCTCAGGTACCTTGAGACCCCAAAGTTTTGCAGCAGATCGCCTTGTTTTGGTTTCGACAATGGTATCAAGAAATTGCAGGCTAGTGAACGTGAATATGCTTAGAAAAACTACAAAAGCAAAACAAATTATGGGTTTGGTTCTGGAACATCATAGAAAGGAACGCAACTAACAATTTGTTTTATATATTTCATATTATTTCAAGTATATTATCACACTCTCCATTCAGCATATTATTAATAATGATGATAGTAATAATTATATAAGTAATAATGTGCTGAAAAGCAAATATATACAATAATACGCTTGACATAATATAAAATATATGAACGAATATTTTAAAAGATAATTTTTATACATACATCTTAATCCCCTTAAACAAATTATTGTAAAGGGGGAGGGGCGCTCCGAACTTACCCCCCCCCCCCCCCCCGACCCCTCCCAAATATTTGCCTACAAAATGTGTTAGATGGGGATGAGGGCCTGGTTTCGACGTGCCCCAATATAGTTACATAATGGGGAAGGGGGGCCTGCAGTGCTTGAGGGCTCCGTCCCCCTCCCCCACCCCCATGGTAACTTTGTGACGGCGCGTCTGACTAATAACATTGTAGTATAATCATTTAGTGACATTAAATGCCTGAAGAAAGCGGCCAACTCCGAGACCGATTCAAATTTGATACTACTAGAGAGCCGGTTGAAACAATACCTTGCACCAAATTAATTTACCGAAATGCAAAAGGCCAAATGGTTCGGTAATCATGCTAGAATGCAACAACAACAACTACCAACACAGGCACTACAAATTAAAAAAAAAAAAAGATAGATATGTAACCAAGAACTCCGCTAAGACCGGTCCCAATCCCGGCTGTAAAAGGAGAAGGGTCTAGCTGACCTGAGTGCTTCACACGTCTCCGGAAGTAGTGGGTAACCGTGAACAAGCCAGACGGCCTGCATGGAGACCGCAAGGAGGCAGCTCCTCCACCATGCAAAGGCACAACAAGCCAATCACATGTTTGCCTTAAACAATGATTACAAGTTACCACAGAAAGAAAACCGGACGAATCTTAACGACAACTAACTGGCATGGCATACGGACTACGTTTTATGGAGCATACGAGGCATTAACGGGAAGGAAAATGAGGTAATAGGGGAGATGAAGAAAGCAAAGTTAGGAATCTTAGCACTGACTAAAACCTAGAAAAAGGGGCAGGGAATCACAGATCATGATAAAAGTATGCTGCTCTACCCTAGTATCCCTACGTTGGAGAGAGCCGGAGAAGGTTTTGGCTGTATTGTGGCCAGGAATCAAGCTAGTATTATCACGGATGGAAATTCATCCGGAGCGAATTGTGGTGGTAGATCTGAGAGAAGAAGATAAAATTGTCAATATTGTCATTGTGTACGGACCAAATGAAGACAAGCGAGTAGATGTCAAAAAAAGAATTCTTTGAAATTCTCAAATTTACCTTAAATGACTGTCATAACGACCTGATTCTCCTTGGAGATCTAAATGCCAGAGTAGGAAATGATCACTCTAGATGGGGTGGAGTGACTATGGTGAAGATGTTTTGAATGACAATGGCAAGCGACTTCTCAGAATCTACAGGGAACATAAACTTGTCATTAAAAACATAAAAGTACCCCACAAACGTATACATGCATACTCGAGATGTGATTCTTCAAAGAATGAGACATCCATCATCGACTACGCCATAATAAGGAAAGGTTCCTTCAAGTTATAAGAGACGCCAGAGTCATGAGAGGATTAGAGATTGGAAGTTACCAGTATTTGGTCACAAAAAAGAAAACAGCTTAAAGAACTGCTTCAACGAGGCAAATCGACAACCATGCAAGAAACCAAGCAACCAAGAAAAGATGAGGATTGAGGCATACAAGCTAAAAGAGCCAGAGGCAAAGACTAGATACCAGGAGCTTATGGTGAAAGCAATAGGAACTGTAGAAGAACCGCCAGAGGACACTGAAACCCTTTGGTGCAGATTCAAGAATATCCTCACAGCAGCTGCAGTAGAAGCATCTGGTGACGTCCCAGGGGGAAGGAAGAGACATATGACACCCTGGTGGACTGATAAAATCAAAGGGAAAATAGGAGAAAAGAAAAAGGCATGGAAGCAATACCTAGCATCTAGGAACACAGCTGAAGAAACAGAGAAATATATACAATATGTGACACTCAGTACAGAGGCGAAAAATACAGTGCTTAATGCAAAACAGAAATCATGGGAAGAATGTGGAGAAATGTTAGAAAAGAATAAAAGAGAGAATCAAAAACTGTTCTACAAGACCCTCAAGAACATGAGGAAGGAAAAGGAGTGCCCCCTGAAATTCATAAATGGCAAGGGAGGAGCTCTGCTTACTACCACAGATGATATGGACAGATGAAAAGAATATTTCTAAGAGCTCCTCGGTGTTAGGGACAGTCATGTCCCAGAAAAAGGACCTCACTGCAGAGAAGGAAATCATCCACAGGGAAGATAACATCCGGATGGAGGAAGATTAAGCTGGGAAAAGCAGCAGGACATGGTGGTATAACATCAGAGATTGTCAAATACATGAGAGATGCAGGTAAACGACTTTCTTAAAAGCTCTTCAGGCAGCCCGGTATAGGAAAACGATACCAGTAGATAGGGAGATGACTGACTGACTTTCTACCCCACCAGGACATCACACAAGCGATAAACACCCGATGACACAATGTGCCACCATGGGATGAGGCTCACAGTAGAGAGGTCCCAGAAACCGCGTTTAGCCAATGGCCATATTTATGGCCTGGCTATATTGCGGCCCCTGGCAAGAGCCAGGGTGGTTCTTCAAATAACGAAAAATGTCATCCTTAAAAGGACGGTAGTAAGCATTAGGCAGAGACTGGGAAGTCTGGCAGAACCATAGGTGGATCAGACCCAATGCGGCTTCAGGGCAAATCGAAGTACTCAAGAGCTAATCTTCAAACTCAGACAGATAAGTGAAAAAAACCTTGAATATAAGAGTGAGACGCGCCTATGTTTTTTGGATCTAGAAAAAGCATTTGATAAGGTCCCCTGGAGCAAGCTCTGAAACTGCTTGGCAAGGAAAAACATTTCAGCAACCCTATACAATGCAAAACAGAGTTTCGACAAAAGCTGCAGATATTATGTAAAAGCACCAGATCAAAGGTTTGAAGAATTTAAGACCACTATCGGTGTTCGACTAGCTGATATTCTCTCAGCTTACCTATTCATTCTCATGATAGATGATGTCATTAAGACCTGTAAGTAGAAAAAAAAAAAAAAAAAAAAGAAGTACTCGGTAGGGTACTAGAAGATGATACTAATCAGTATATCAGAGCTGGCATTTGCAAACGACATAGCCCTGATTGTTGAAACAGAGGCATCTTCAATTCAGCCTACTGGTCTGAAAGGAAGAGAGGGATGACCATCTTTATCTCTAAAACTTAAACCACGGTGATCTCAAGAGAGGAGAAGAGACACAAAATCACGTTAGGACATCATGCATTGGGACAGGTTACCCAGTATAAATACCTTGAAGTTGTAAAGACCAAAATGGAGGCGTTAAAACAGAGCTGGCTACTCGAAAAGCAGCAGCGGTGAGACTTTTCCAGTCCATAAACCGAGGGTTTCTTAGCAAAAAAAGGTCGAAAATGGCTGTTTACCGCTCTACCTAAGTCCCAGTCCTGACCTACTGGTGTGAATCATGGGCCATGACAACAGCCCACAGAAGCCAGCTTCAGACCGTAGAAATTAGATATCTAAGAAAGGTCGTCCAAGTGAGAAGAAGGGACAAAGTTTGCAACCAGACAATAGTCAAGGTCTTGAAATCCAGGCCTTACAAACTCGAGTGAATCAATCACAGTTACGAGAGTTTGGACATGTATGCAGCACGGGAGAAAACTGGCCACCATGGCAGGGATGGGAGGCTAAGAACCAAGGAACCAGACCACCAGGGTGACCTTCGGTAAAATGGGAAGACAACATCCGACAGTTCCTGATAGACAGAGAACTGGAATGGAATAAAGCCAGAAAGAAAACTGCCGATAGAGAAGTCTGGTGATCTCTTTGGCAAACCTCTACACCCCAAGAAAGAAGATGGGCGACTAAGTAAGTGAAAGTGAAACCAAGAGTGCTTCAATGACAACATAAACTGATCACATTAAAGACATTCTGTTTTCACTCAGAAGTAAATAGCCACCGCTACCAACCGAGAAATAGATCGTAAATTGTTTCTCCACACGCCGTTTAACGTTAAAAGGTGAATACTGGGGGTGGTGAAGGATGAAGTTGATGACAAACACTGTTGTCTGTATATTACAGGTGTCCTTATAAGAAGCAAATAATAGTACCACTGCACTCTATCCGGTGTGTAATGAAAGACGAATAAGGACAGAGTTTTGGATATCCCGTCCATTGAAAATCTTTAGCTTCACAATCTAACCAAGTAAGCTATAAAGTAAACATGTTCATGTTAACAAAAACAAATATGGGGAATCTGAGACAGGTGAAGAAGATGTGAAGGAGCTAGGATGAGCTGCACGCAATGATAAAATAAAATGACGACAGAGTGAATTGGCTGTTTGTCTAAGTTCTATTTTAGATAAAAGACAGGGGAAGAAGTCTGGCACCACACTCTAAATCTTAAACAAACAATAGCAACGCCAACGACAATTGTGTAAAAAATTTTCATGCACGGGTTTTGTGTCTGGTGTTCACGTATGTTCAGCAGAGGCAGCATCAACAGCTACAGCAGCAGCTGTGGTTGGCGTGAGTTCGGGTACCTCTTTGATCTTTGTGACCGAGCTTCTCTTCATTATGAAATGCGACGTCTCAGCTGATATATTCGTGCCGGAAGCTTGACGACGTTGACTCCCGCCAATAAATATCCACTCTGGCTCGTCAGTCCCCGGAAACAGTTTCACCGGAGCCCCTTCTGTCGCCATCAGCCGGTCTTTAAGATGATGCCTAACACTTGACCCGGTATCGTTACCTTCACTTGACTTTCGAATGAAGGGATCATAATCCACATTGCATTGGTCACAAACGATAGCTTCTTCGGCCACTTTCACCATTAGCTCTGCCTCATCGACCTCACTTGCAGCGGCACCTGGTGACTGCTCTTGCTCATGTGCTCTATGAACTTGGCGGTGTTCTGCGTCTATACGCTCCATGCTGTTTGTGTTTCTATCTTCTCGATACGACAGATGAAGGTTTGACACTGTCTTCAAAAACTTCAGTTAGAGACCTATGTGAACCTGTAAATAGCATGGACGAAATGTGAGCTTCAGAATAATTGTCTAAGGAAGAAGAATACGTCTACAAGATATCATCATCATCATGTAGCAGTTCTTTTGCAAAATGTCGCTCTCATCACGGTCTGCCTGAAAGAAACTCGGTCTCTCGCAAGCTCTCCCGCCTCACCGACTTAAATACTCAAGGAGTCACCTATATCCAGCGTCCATCTTCCTGCTGGTCGGCCCCTACCCCTACTTCCTGGTACCATGACTTCTGCTATTATTTTTTCCAATCCGTCGTGGCACTTGATATGACCAAAATATTTCAGCTTTCGAGACAAGATGATGTTTATTAGTCAATCTTCCTTGATGTTCAGATCTTTCAAGATGTCAGTATTTCTCCTCTTCTTTGTCCAAGATATTCTGAGAATCCTAATTTTAGGCGTCCATTATAAGTTTCTTGGTATAGTAATGTGGTAGTTTCCCCCTTGCTTTCCACATCCACGTGGCTTTAGACTATGTCCTCAGTCTTCAGCAACCTTTCCGATTGCTAGGGCAAGTGAGTGACAAAACATAGAGCGCTAAAATAAAAAATTATGGAACCAATCGCTAACTGTGAATCTGCAACCATGATCATGCCGCAAGAACAAGTGAAAAAAGGGGGTGATGCCAGGCGAGAGCAACATAAAAGAAGCCAAAGAAGAAAAATAAATCAAAGCAGAACTGATTAACCGGCTCTGCCTTAGCTAAGGAGTGCCGGCCCAAGAATCATATAGACATTGTCAATGCCATTAGAGAGGTAGGACGTTCAGAGGATTTTGGGAGCAGCACATCCACATCTTTGCTAAGGGAGGAAGAATTGGGAGAAAAGACCGGCACAGCCAGGCACGAGAAGCACACCGGAGGCACGAGAAGTCTTGTCAAACAACATGGCACTATCAACTGGGGGACGCTGATGTATATGTTGAAAGGGGAATCTGATTCTGAGCATCTATGGACGTGTCTGGAGTGTCGTAACAATAATCCAAATCATAACTCATTTAAAGGAGACTGATGCCACGCCTCTGCCATTGTGTCAGCGGCTCTGGTTACCATTACATCAAACTGAGAATCCCGCTTCATGGAAAACTTACCATTCAATAAAACACACAGATTACTGGCTAGAACCAAGAGGCTGGCCACATTAAAAAGGCGACGAGTCGAAGAATGGTTTGTCAAGTGCGTCATCAATACCCGTGTCTTATTGTTAACTAAGTTCCAGATGGTGCCATGTAAAGCACATATGACACAGCAGTGGAAAATCCCGAATTGGTTAGTTAGTTAGTTAGTTAGTTAGTTCGTTAGTTAGTTAGTTAGTTAGTTAGCTAGTTAGTTAGTTAGCTAGTTAGTCAGTCAGTCAGTCAGTCAGTCAGTCAGTCAGTCAGTCAGTCAGTCAGTCAGTCAGTCAGTCAGTCAGTCAGTCAGTCAGTCAGTCAGTCAGTCAGTCAGTCAGTCAGTCAGTCAGTCAGTTAGTTAGTTAGTTAGTTAGTTAGTTAGTTAGTTAGTTAGTTAGTTAGTTAGTTAGTTAGTTAGTTAGTTAGTTAGTTAGTTAGTTAGTTAGTTAGTTAGTTAGTTAGTTAGTTAGTTAGTTAGTTCGGTTATCATCACTGCACTCCGGTGCAGTCCGGACATGTCCATAGGTGCTCAGATCCTCCCTTCAGTATGAACCCCACAGTGCGATGGCTAATAGTACCAGTTCTATGTTGATTAACAAGTCTTCTGGTGTGTCTGGTGTGCGTCTCGTTTTTTGCAACACCGATCTTAATTCCCGAATTGGTAACCTCATTTAGTGCCAAGAGGGCTGTGTGGTCTCAAGGCATGGTGTCCACTTCAAATGCTAGTGGTTCCTGGTTCAGTCCCGGGTAAGGGCTGGAATTTTTCACGTAGTCTTGGACTTCTAGTAATTCCCCTGGTCTCTGGGTAGTGAGATCGGACGCCCGTGTGCATTGTTGCGCACGTAAAAAATCCCTTGGCAGTTGGAAATCGAAAAGAGTAGCCTAACGGCGTTGCCCGGGCAAAAGTTTTGAGTTAACAATCTACTCAAAGTATCTTAGGATCCTCGCCGGTGCTACAGAGTATGTGCACTGTGCTGAGCTTCTTCGGACTCAGACGAGTTAGAAGAAAGAACGGAGCACTTATGGGTTACTACCCGTGTGCCATGATGTCGATCCGTTGTTCAAACTTCAAACCTAAAAACCTCATTTAGTGCCATCATCATCAGTAAACAGGTTTTTCACAGAACGTCGCTCACGTCACAGCTCCCCTCAAAGTCAGACTTTCTCCACCCAATTCTCCAGGTCTCTGTTTTCATAGCCAATGCTTCTTCATTGTCTTGTATCTACCTTCGCGGAGGCCAGCCCCTGCCTTGTGATCGAGGAAATTGTACCCTTCAACAGTTAACACTAATCTGTCGTCTCCATGTGGGATGCAATTTTTAGTTATTTTGAAGCCCCACCCTGGCTTTTGCCCGGGGCCCTAAATATAGCTCGTCTTTAAATATGGCCTAACGGCCGAAAGGGATTTCTGGGACCTCTCCACGGGTGATGCTCATTCGCATGGTGGCACTTTGTGTCATCGAGTGTTTATCGCTTGTGTGATGTCCCGATGGGGTGCAACTTACCTATCTACCTCCAACATAGAATTTTTCCAGGATTCTTTTACACAAATTGGTGGCGTGGCCACAACAAATTGATTATGCTGGTTTGTTGCTAAAATTAAGTAATATTTTGTTGGGGGGGGGGGGCGGGTCTACAGGTTCCTCGCCAATGCTGCGGAGCTACGTGCATTGCGCTGAGATTCTCCTGTTTAAGCGCCAACTGTCGTAATGGTTGATGACCCTATTCACGCCGGCGCGGCAAGTATGGTTGTCGGAAACGCAAGAAATGATCCGGGCAAAGGCGAAAGCGACTAAAGTGGGACAGGGTTCGGCTCAAACAAATTCTATACTGGAACTGTGCCAGTCTAAAACAGTGACGACCTACTATCGACCGTTCAATACACGCAGCAGACATCATCGCTCTACAAGAAACAAAACTCAGTGATGACAAAAAACGGTTTACTGGCTTCAAAGACAAACAGCAGAAAACACGTACAAGCTATTCTGCTGTGGAACAACATCGTAGCAACTCTAGTAGATATGTCTACAAATGTGCAACTGCTCGCTGTCCATGTACAGTCAATACCACAACCATTCACTCTAAAAACATATTTTTTTTTGGAAAAAAAAAAGGGGGGGGGGGGTGTTTGGATAGACCCGCATTGTGAAAATTGTCCGCGTGTGACCATAGTGGTCTTATAGTTGTCTTCACGAATGCCCTTACATAAGGGTATCCACTGCCACTACCCGACCATCCTCTCTCCTGTCCCTCAATATTATCAGATAAGTGCTATGAGTGCGGATGTGCAAGAAAGATGTTCAGTCCGCTTCTTCTTCTTCTTCTTCTTCTTCTTCTTCTTCTTCTTCTTCTACTACTACTACTTCTCCTTTTTCTTCTTCTTCTTATTATTATTATTCTTGTTCTTATTCTTCTTCTTCTGTCCGCACGCACGCACACACACTAGAGTCGTGGTAACGAAAGAGCTAATACCGTTGCCTACCGGTCCTGTTGGTCATGTATTCAAATCCATCAACACAAAAATATCGATTCGCGCAAATGGTGCTACCAAGATAGGTTTTCAGAAGTTACGGGACCGACCCACCGAAACTGGACTGCCGGTTACTTGGTAATCCTCGGCTTTCCTAACAAAAAATGTGTTATACTTATACCAGTGGATCTCAACCTTCCAAATGCCGCGAGCTTGTAATACAGTTCTTCATGTTGTGGCGACCCCCCCCCCCCCTCCTCAAGGATGCAGTTATTTCGCTGCCACTTTACAATTTCAATGAAGATGTGCTTTGCGATGGTCTTTGGCGACCCATGCAGAAGGGTCGTTCGAACCACACACAAAAAGGGGTCGCGACCCACAGCGTGAGAACCGCCGTGTTGGTTGAACTGAGTTTCCTCGTTTCGCTTGTGTTGGTTCTGATCAGAATAATGGCTCTGTGAGTAACTGAGTGGTAATCTTTCAGAAAGCAACATTGGAGTGGAAGATTATCATGGATAGAATCCCCTACTGTGTACAGAAGTGAGCCCAGTGTGCTACCGATCGGCTAAAAAAACTGACCGGTGAACATTGGTCACAGTCAGAACTGTGGTCAGCTGTAGATACGGCGGGCCGTACACATTTTTCTTTATCATACTAGGTCATAGTTCGAACTAAGATAATTAGATTTGGACAAATCAGAGGCGGCGGCTTGGTGAAAATGATCGCAGAGGTCAGATCCGAAAGTGCCTAAATTTGTAATGCTTTGGCACGTAGCGAAAACAGACACAGCACGTATACAAAATACCACTGTGTATATTCTGATAACTAAATGAACACTTTATTTCCGTGTAAAAACCCTAAGGGTTGAACTGGATATTTTTATGAAAATTACTACCACTACTGCGAGTCGGACATCCGTAACCTGGCCTGATTAATAAAGCCGAACTGCAGTGATTATAACAAGAACAAGTACACTATCCCGTACTGAAAACAAAGCTGGCACAGTTACTTTTAATCTAACCTGCTGCCCGGCTCTCTAGAGTAGTTGGCTAAACCGGATTGCGCGGTGACCGGGTGACGAACTCTTTGTGGTCCGGGTTCCCTCCCAGGGGTAAGCAGAAAAGCCACATTTCTCCCCAGATTTACGGTATTTACAATGGAATCAATGCCGAAAGGTTGCGATATCCATAATACCGAGCTTAAGGGTTAACAACTCATGGCTTCTGGATACTAAACCAAACAAACATCGAACCTGCTGGGACACACCTCTGAGAATGGGTCTATCCCCCAAGACGTCTGATTACAAAATAAAACCGGTCAAGGTCAAAGTTCTCGCGCAGTAACTACTGTAGTAATAAAAGTCCACTTTGCTGAGTTTCTATCAATAATTGACGACCAGCTCGAGACTTGGGCACCCTTTTTCTAATAAAGGGGGAGTGGTAATTTCTCTTACGTGTTTTAAAAAATAATGTGTGTGAAAGTGTGTGTGTGTGTGGTGTGTGTCTGAAAAAGTGTTTGTTTGTGTACGTGTGTTTATATGTGTGTGAGATGCATATACATTATTACAATAATATATTAACTTTCATATTTACTTATTTAGCTTAACATTTAAAGCTAATGTAAAGAGCAATTAAACCAAAAAAGAGCAGGAGGGGTAAGAAGAAGAAGAAACAGATGTTGCAGAAAAGGAGCAGGGGTAGTAGAAGAGTATGTAAATTAGGATTTAGATTAGTCAGTCTTTTCAGGTCATAGGTACTATGCTGAATGTAATTATTTACCTTAATACTCACAATTGACTGTACATATGATTACGCTGCTATTGATCACTGTGTTTTTTCTGCATGCCAAAGAACTACAATAGTTGCACAGCGGCCATGTCAAAAAGGCATAAACTGTTGATTGAGCATGTGGCTCAAGTTGTACAAGTGACTGACTGTGGAGCACGAGCGTTGACAAAAGACAGTATGAAAAACATTGCGGTTCTCCAAGGTGCTCAGTCTGGCTATAGCGTACTGATAGGAAGGTAAGGAAATACATTAATTTATATGATACTCTGTTAAGAAGTTGTGTATTATTTACAGGAAGTTGCAGTACCAACTCCAACATTTTTTTTTGGGCTGTTGTGGGTTTTCTAGGCAAATTTACATTCAACAGTTTGCTTTTGTTACTAAATGGTCGGCTCTCGATACCACTGTTGAAACCAACACAAGGGAGTTTGCTACCAAATCACCTGCAGCTGGGATCGAACCCGTCACTCTAACATTATGAACCACGGTCGCAACACCTACGCCACAGACATCGACATCAAGGATGTACACTACAGTGTACATAAGATCCTGTCTTCACGTGGGTTCCAGAGTCCCATGGCAGGGTTAGGGGGGGGGGGGGGGGGGGGGGAGGGTTAGATTCACTACCCATTACCAAGTATTTTGTAATAGTTGACTAATAAAGTGTTTGCTGAAATTGGATGTGTAGCGCTAAAAGGCGTACATATTGCAACGTAGCTGTAAACCACAATGCAAGGTGCCAGCAACTTTTTTGAGTAACAAAGCAGTAAAAAATCATTTGTCTCCTCTAATGTGTCTCCTTCATGAAGATGTAGAGGTGCTTGGATAGTCCACTGACCCCTAGAGCGGTGTCATATATGATTGTTCAGACCTCAAGGAATGTATTTAATGCTTCACCCTATTCATTTTTGTTGATAACTTCCTTCATACATCTGTAATATTTCATTAAACAGTTAAAAAAAAAAATATTAATACATTTTAATGACTTAATTGGTGACCTGTGTAAAATTATTTTTTTGTTAAGGATTTTTCTTGGTATTGTATGGAAGTGAATTTTGGAATGTGAACTAACAAAGAGTTAAGAAGAGTGTGGAGGCAACTGAGATGTGGTTCTTGAGAAGAATGTTGCAAATACCTTAGACTGCCAGAATAACTAACACTGACTGACTGGAAATGGCTAAAGAAAGTAGAACACTATATACAACAATGAGAAGGAAACAAAAAAACACTTCTTTGGTCATGTGATGAGAAAATGAGCACTAGAAAATATCGTGACGACTGGAAAGATCACTTTAAGAAGACACAGAGGTATATCAAGAGAAATTATGGTGGATGGCTTAAGAAAGTTGCATGGAGGAATATCACCAGTGGAATTGATCCAGAACACCAAAGACCAAGATCTGTGGAGATGCATGAACCTCTACGCCATCTGGCAAGGCACTTGAGGATGATTATGATTCAAATGACTCATTGTTTTAGTTTTTCCAGGGCAAGAGAGTTACTGTAGGGTAGCTGTGTTTGTCTATACCTAAACAACCACTCATGCAGACAATAGCTGTCAGTATCATTATAATCCATGCAACAGGGAGGGTACTATTGTGGACATAGGAACCAGTCAGGAAATTGAAACCAGGCACAGCAAGGATGATATTGACCAGGTAATTGATGGCTCAAGAAAGTGTTTGATACCAGGTAAGACTTGAGAAATTTGAGCAAATAACATTCAGTGTGTGCGTGAAAAATTATATTTTACATAGAAACTGTGTGCTGCTTTCATTTTAGATTGCAGTGAAACAACAGCAGATTTTTATTCTGTGAAAACAATTTAATACTACTGCTCGAGTTTTTAGGGTATTTCGGTTCTTATTACCTTTTCCATCCCAAACACACTGTGGTTGGCCTTTCATTCATGCTTCCAGACCTGTCACACCCGCTAGTCTATGTTACAGAGGTGTCAGGATGTGTTGTCTCTATGCTATCACTGGTAATGTTGTGTGTTCTATATTACACGAGGTGACCGCATTTAACGAGCTCACAACATGTAGAACTGGCCCTAACCCCAACTCCCCTACCCCAAGCCTCAACCTACGTCCTATGACAGAGTGCAGCCTACATCCTGTGTCACACTGGGTTGTCTGTCATCAACAACATCCTGTGTTCTATATTACATGATGTACCCACTTTTAACGACCTCACAAAATCTAGAACTGGCCCTAACCCCAATCCCCCTAACCCACAGCCTCAGCCTATATTCCACAAGTGAGTGCAGCCTACGTCACGTGGATTCACAATTGTTAACATTTTGCTGTGGGCCCTAAAAAGCTGTATTGCTGCAGAAAAGATCCGCTACTCTCCTTGTCGCTCATCTGGCTGACAGCTGACTCATACTCAGAGTCCAACAAAGCTATAATATATGCAATCTTGCCGTCCACTCACACCAACGAGTAAAACACAACGTTTAAAGCTTTGCAAAGACAACACGACCAGACAACCCTGTAACATAGACTAGGGATTGTGACAGGTCAGAAAGCATGAATGAAAGGCCAGTTACGGTGTGTCTGAGGCGGAAAATGTAATAAAAAAACTGGTATTTCTTTAAATACAATAATGATAATTTAGAAGCAACAGTCTCAGTGAGGGTTTAAAGGACCTTTGGGGGGAAGGGGGAAGACCCACTGTCAATTAAAAAACATGTTGTGAGGATTTGCTGAAATCAGATATGTTGAATTGCATGGCAATTTTCCTTTTTAAATCTTATATACCCTGTTTTCCCTGTGAGTTTCCTGCTTCATTTTGGAAGAGGTGAGGGGTGGAGGGGGATAGAAATAGACTTAGTGTCCCTTAACAAGCATGTAGAGCAGTGATTCTCAAACTGTGTGCCGCGGCGCCCCAAAGAGCCGCAACCTCTTCACAGGGGTGCTGCGAAATATTGTAAAAGCTTTATAATTAATTTAACCAAGACACGTATAGTCATACTTTTACTTAGGTTAGGGAGCAGTAGAAAAATTGAAAAAAGGCGCCGCTACCAAGAAAAGTTTGGCAAACACTGATGTAGACAAGGACTGCTAATTAAGCGTTTGCTGAAATGTGGTGTATTGGAATGAAAGGCACAGATATCACAAGATAGCTGTTAACTACAACACTGTGTGCCAGACTTCCATTCAACATAAAAGGAGAATAAGATCAATACTTGTCTGTTGTTTTATTTACATGTAATTTCAGCCTAATCAGTATTTTGCACAAGGAAATGGCTTCTCCATGCAGTTGTTTGCATTCAGTTTCCAGTTGAAGATACATCTTTTTTCTCAACTCAATATAGCTTTGTGACCAGGTCCTGTAATATGAATGTATAGCATAAAGTCAGGACATAAGAAAGGGAGCAGATCAACACTTATTATTTTGTCATCTAGTGCCTGTGAAATCCAAGCTATTCACACTGTTACAGTAGTGTTTTTTAGTGAATTATCCATTTATTTATTTACTTGATGTTTATTAGCTCTTCTCTTTCAGACAAAATAATTAATGGGGACATTATCACAGATTTATTTTTTATTTATCCACGATCTGTTAAACCATTACACATTACATAAGGCTCACAGAATATTTCCGACACATCCTGTTTATGTAATTCTCACAATATAAGTAGTGGTGTTAGTGGTCAAGGCCTTTTGAGAACAAGCAACAGAATCAGTAGAGAAACATGATTATAATGTCCTGGAAAGAATGAGGTACCTGGGTGTAACCAGGGGTGATTACTAGAAGTCCAAGTCTTTGTGAAAAAATTCCAGCCTTTCCTGTGGATTGAACCCGTAACCTCTAGCACTTGAGGCGGACACCATGCCTCAAGACCCCGCAGCTCCCCCCTACTTTTAGGACGTAAAGTTGTTTACTCATGTAAACCATGAAAATTGATCTTTCAGGGCTGGTGGATGCTCACACTCATCCAGTCTGGGCTGGCGACAGAGTGCATGAGTTTGCCTTGAAGGTTAGTATGGTCAGCTTCACTTTATTTTGGTTCTTACATTTGAAACATTTAATTCTTAGTAAACTGTAAATCTTTCTAAGTGGCTTAGAAATAAAATTATAAGTTCGAAAACTATATTTATCAATGATTTTAAACCTTAGAGATAGTTGCATACAACTGAGTTTATAAACAGTTATAGACTTTGTATTAAAAACACACACACCAGTGGGAAGAAAGGGGAATCCATAGATAAAATGGAGAATTGATTTTAATAAATATGTTAATGACCGACTCACAGAGCATGTTGAGAAAGGTGAAAACAGGCATGCTCTGTGCAGAGTGGCAAGCATCACTTCAGAGGTCCCGGGTAGTTAGCATCCTTTGGATATTTTCTACAGGTCATGCCGGTGTAATCGGCTCTGTGGCTAAGTCGATGCGAACGCTTCATAATGCCGGGATGCCGGGATGGATCCCAGCTGTGGGCCATGTGCCTTGCGTTGGTTTTGGAAAATGAGCAGGCAGATAGACTGGCTGGCTCTGCACCACTTGGTGGTGAATAACAAGTTAGATATTGTGAGGGCCCTTTGGGAGTGGGTGAACAGTGCTGAGGCGCAGATGGATCATTACGGTCTGAGGTGAATGGCGCTGCGAGGAGTTACCAGGGGATCTGGCCAACGCTCAACACTCAGGGGAAGAATGAGGCGGATATACACCTCATATATATCAGGTTACTGGCACCTTTGGAATTGAAACTCTTCACTTACTGTTGAAGATGGGGACTGAGCACTTATGGAAGTGTCCCGAGTGCTGTGATGTTGATTCCTAATTCAACATTCAAACATGTTAATCATGGAAATGTTCAATAAATAATAAAATACATTGTTGGTACTGTTGTGAAGTGAGTCTTATGACAACATTAACTACCCTTTGTATGGGGAATTTTCTAATTTCTCACAGGATAAATCTACAGTGAAACCTGAATATGCTTCGTCAGTCCATAAAAAAAAAAGCTAATGAGAATTTTATTGTGACAAAAATATTTTCCCCATCTTTCACTGAGATATATGATGTCACTCAGTTATATCTTTTTAATAATATTTTTGATACTGACATAGTACAAATACGATTAATGGAAACGCCATAGCTATCACTGGAGACAATCTACATTCACTGGAGACAATCTACATTCACTGGAGACAATCTACATTCACTGGAGACAATCTACATTCCTTGGTCAGGTCATGAGAAGGAGAAAACAGAAGTACAAGATAACAATGGGACAATTAGAGGGGAAAAAATGCAGAGAGAGAGACCAAGAGAGAAGATGCTGGACAGTTGATGGCATGGAAGATCATCTGCATCAGAACTGATTGAAAGGACACAAGACATAATCTTGCAGATAGACATGACTACCAATGCAAAATGGCATTTACTATAGGAACAAGAATTAGAGTTTTAATTAGAATTAAATTAATTAATTAATTAATTAATTAGAATTAGTATTGCAGAATTAGAGGTACAACAACTGATAGATGGAAAGGCCAGACTAGATGATGCAGTAGTGTACACTGATGGTTCTGTTCACTGGAGTGTAAGATCTGGCTGTGTATTTTCAGCTAGAATAAAGGGAAAATTTGGGGCAGAACAAAACAGAGCATTTTTATCTACAACTTCAAGCATCAGAATGGAAGTGGAGGCAATCACTGCAGCTCTGAAGTGGATAGCAGAAAACAAAGTTACCAGAGGAATAATGGTGTCTGATTCTCAGTCGGCATTGCGGAAGATTCAAAATGTTGTAATGTGGCAATAGTGGATACCATGCATCAGTACGCCAACATTGCAGGGAATCACGTGGATATACTGTTCCGGACATTCAGGAGTGCGAGGGAATGAAAGAGCAGATTTTCTGGATACAAAAGCAAAAGCTACAGGAACACTCGTATTGGTCAAGGGGGATATTCTGAAGACCCTGTATGAACAACCTTTGGCAGAAGACACGAGATTAGATGAAATAACATGGGCAAGAATGTGTGAATAAGGAATTAAGTGTGGATCCGGCGAGGAGGAACAAATGAGAAGAAGAGATTAGTGTGTATATAATCAGTGTGCTGCGGGAACATTTAACAACTACACCTTACATCATTTGCTGTGGAAGACGGAGCATCTATGTGTATGCCCGGTGTGCTATGATGTCGATTCCTAAAACAGTGAATCAGAACAAGTGGCTATCATACTTGCTAGCTAACAAAATGGTAATGTGTTCACATTCTCATGACAGGGTCTTATATCAATTGACCTGGACTTCCAAGTCAACCTAACTAACAATCAGTACCAAGTAATGTCTGTGGGGTGAAGGTGACCAGTCTTGTATTGATCAGTCAACAAGGTGGGTCTCAGGCAGTATTTCAACCCTGGCAGGGCCCACTCCTCTTCAGGTGGCCATTTCCTCATTAGCCTGTATCCTCACAGATACAGTTTCCAGTCTGCACCACAAGGAGTAGGGTTGGCCTGTGCGATCACGTAACAGGAGCAGGCTACTAATTTTTACTTGTCATCATCCTAGGAGAGCTAGCTGCCCCCAACACTGCTGGCTGCAGTGCCAGGCATGACCACCATTGCAGACCTAGTCAGTGCTGGTTGTTGTATAAAAATATTGGTCTAGCACCATATACCCAGTGTATCAATGGTATTAGAAGGGTTCTTTATTATTTTACTACCATTTAAATAAATTAAACTATTTGTTCTGCCAATTTTCAGCTTGCTGGTGCCACATACATGGATATTCACAACATGGGAGGTGGGATACATTTTACTGTCGATCATACAAGACAGGCAGATGAGGAGACACTGTTTGCATCCTTCAGTGACAGACTGCACCAGATGATTCAATCAGGGACCACACTTGTTGAATGCAAGAGTGGTTATGGTCTTGACTTGGAAAATGAGATCAAAATGCTGAGAGTCTTAGAACGAGCAAGAAGGGAGAGCAAAATAGATATCTCAAGTACTTATTGTGGAGCTCATGCTGTACCCAAGTAAGATCATTTTTAACCCTACTAGACCTCAGACCCTGAACGTAACTGCCTTCTATACCTGAGCTCCAGGGCATTAACGCGAGAAAAAAAAACCAACATGATGTACACAAATATTAGTTACATGTAAACAAGTGGCTAGAATAAGATGAAACTTGGAGACACTGTAGAAAATATTCCACCTTTGTGAGTTAAACCACCCAGCAGGAAACGCTAGATGTTGCTGTTTGAGGGACGTGCTCCCTTTTCCTACTTTCGATTTATTTCTAGATTTATAATTTTCAAGATTCTCCTCATCATTCCACGTCTCACTGACTGTGTCCCTTTAACTGTGAACGTATTCTTCATGAAATTATAACTTGGCAAAGGCTGAATCAACCAAAGTATGAATCACCTGGTGGACTGTGAAAAGGCTAGACCTACTTCACTTTCCTGTCGAAGCGCTTGGTTCATCAAACGCTCGTTTTATTGTGAATTTTCAGAATTTTTTTCACGTAAAACTACATAAATTTTATCCAAACACGCGCAGGCCGACATCTGAGAAGACTATCCACGAGATCTGATTACGATTGGCTAGTTATTTTTAGTTTGTGACTCATTGTTTTCTCATAGTACACAATTCCCGGCATTGAGGGACAACGGTTTAGCGGCAGATTAGGAAATTCCTGTAATAGCGGGCCAGTGGTCTGGTAGAGTTAGGATTTTGTCTTTAATATGCCATAAACATAATTAAATATTGGAGGATACTGTGAAGAAAAGAAAAACTAAAGCATTCTCTTCTCTATCCTATCTTCTGCTTTTTCTTTCCCTGTTTTTGTTGTTGCTGAATAGCAAAACATGCAATTGGTTCTTTAAATCTGTGGTAGCAGTGCATATACTAGGATGTTAATTTCCTGTGCAAAAATGATTTATTTCATTGCCATATTGCAGTTTTATTTCATTTTGCAAGAACAGCCTCCTAAAGTTTCTATCTTGTGAAATGCTTGCTAAAAAAATTGTCCATCTGTTGTTGTTAACCAGGTCATCAAAGTACTTGAACACATCGCCTTGCTTCAGGCTAGTCCTGAGTTACCTTGATGTTGTCTTCTAGGGAATATCACTTTGTAATCACCATTACATTTTTTTGCCATTATTAAAAAAAACAATTATTAAAATGCTTCTATTTCAGATTGTATTTTTTTATCATTGCTAAGAAACCAATGCTACTGTTTAATCTCATAGGGGAAAGACAGCTGATGAAGCAACCAAAGATATTATCACAAAACAAATTCCTGCCATCAGACAACAAATTGATGCAGGGAAGCTCCATGTGGATAACATAGATGTGTTTTGTGAGAAGGGAGTGTTTGATCTGTGCCAGTCAAAGGCCATTCTTCAGGCAGGGAAGGAGGCCCATCTGCAGATAAACTTTCATGGAGAAGAACTACACAGGCTTGGCTCTGCTGAGGTTGGTGAGTGATTTATATTGGTGTAACAACAAATTAAAAACACTGTCCTTACTCCCAGTGTTTATCACCCTTTTGGGTAGGGCAGGACATGGAAGTCTTGAGTCAGAAGATCTAGGGCTGGATAGCTGGTAAACTTGCAACAGTCTGTGTAGTTTAGGATTTTACTTTTTCTGAAAACAGAAAAATCAATCACCTTATCTGTGAGTTGATCCTCGGTTATCATCCTTTGTGTGCCGCATAGACGTCACATAGTCTGTGTAGTTTAGGATTTTACTTTTTCTGAAAACAGAAAAATCAATCACCTTATCTGTGAGTTGATCCTCGGTTATCCTCCTTTGTGTGCCGCATAGACGTCACATAGTCTGTGTAGTTTAGGATTTTACTTTTTCTGAAAACAGACAAATCAATCACCTTATCTGTGATTTGATCCTGGGTTATCATCCTTTGTGTGCCACTAGACGTTACATAGGGCTCGCATTCGATTCTTCCACTCCGCTCTATTGCATGCAACTTTCTTGATTTCTGACATGGAATTCAGCCTAGCCTTTTTTTTATTTGCCTCTCATAATAATATTCTTCTTAATGATTCCCTTGGATGTCCTCTTTTTATCTCAAACCATTTGTTTCCTATTTCAATGCCTGTTTTATAATTGCTCATTTCGTCTCAGAGTGTGCCCAGTATATTTCCACCTTTATCTTACTGCAGTTGATACAGGTATTTTTCCAGTCATTTCTCTGATCTCCTCACTCATTTGAATAGTTATACACCTGTTAATTATAGCTTTATCCCAGACTTCCATTCATTTATTCATACATTCAAAATGCTCCTGTACATGCACTGATAGGGAAAAAGAGTGTGTGAGAAGATTTGGGTGTATGTATGTAAGTGAGAGAAAGATTATTTAATTATGAAAGGATCAGCTTCATTGTACTGGGTTTTTGTATTAAAAAATGAAAGAGTTTAATAAAAATAATGAACCACTTGAGAAGTCATGGCATAGCGGCTCGATGATCTGTCTGCTGATCTGAAGGTTGCAGATTCAAATCCACATCGAGCGGGGTTTAAAATAAAATGACCTTCGCTCAGAGGTTGCCCCAACCCAAACTGAGTACCAGGTAAAGTACCGGGAAGTAAAAGTGGCCAGCCTGATGTTGACCACATCCCCTATCGAGGGTCGATTGGTCTGTAAAAAATATGGGTATAGCATCACTGGCATAAAAAGTATCTTTTTACTCTAATAGTTAACAGTATAGGATATAGGTTATGTCTCTAAGCAAGTGCATTGTTTGATGCTTCTCACAATCCGCAGATGGGAGCTGAATTAGAAGCCAAGGCAATCAGTCATCTGGAAGAGATATCTGATGTCGGAATTTCTGCTATGGCGGCATCAGGCAGTGTTGCAGTTATTTTACCTACTACGGCATATAATCTGCGCCTAAAACCTCCCCCTGTTCGAGACATGATAGAAGCTGGGGTGATTGTTGCACTTGGGTCAGACTTTAACCCTAATGCCTATTGCTCAGCTATGGTATGGTGTTATTGTGAATAACTGTGTTACTTACATATCTGACTGCTTGCCTACTAGCCCAAAGTTCTTACATTCAAATCTGCATCCAGTAGGATTTTTAAATAATCAGTCTTGGCTCAATTCAGCCTAATATTAATTTTAGGAAATGTCAGGGAAGTAAAGGCTGCTAGCGTCTTATGACCACATCAAGCACTGAGTTGATCTGGTCAATAAAAACCGAAGTCTAGCCTTATTTGTCTGATATAAGGGACAAAGGGCTTGAAAAGAGCCCTTTATATAATATACATAACTGACAAATCAATATTACTGCTGTATGCAAAAGTCACTGTGGGGTGTAAAGAGTTAATGAAGCCAGGGCTTTGTGACGCATGGATACACATGGGCATTCATGCTGTGTTGACAAATTGTGAATGTAAACATTTGGGGCTACTGGAAGAGAGTGGAACGTGAGTCACTGGGGAAATATGAGTCGCTTGAGGTTCATGACGGGCTTACGGACATCATGGTCCATCGCAGATGTTGTGGGATCCATGTAGGTCGACATCACTGGGGAAGTGTGAACCCCGTGTTTTGGTGAGAGATCTAGCCAGTCGCTTTTCAGTCAGTCTAATGTGTGGACGTGTGCACGAATTGTTCAAACCTTATGGAGGATTGGACTGTGTGGTGTGACTGTTTTATCAGTGTGGTTTTATTCTGCTAGAGCTCGTAAACTGTCTTGAGGACTGTGGTGGATCATGAGTTGGACTTCATTATTCTGTCAGAATGATTTCCTAGAATGGACTTGTGCCAGCCTAGGTTTGTGTGGAGTCGGTTCAGTTGTGGCTATGTGGCACGCTGGTTGATGGGGTGCCCTTAAGTGCTACAGAAGGTTCTTGAGTGACTTTGTGTGTGTTGACCAATTTGGAGTTTTGGTGGGGAGGTTATCAGGGAAGCTCTTTAACTGGAGGTTAATCAGTGATACATCAGTGAGTGACGAGATAGCAGACAGGAGGTCTGGATTCAATTCTCAAAGTGGTGCATCTACCTTGGACCCTCGGGTGGCGGGATCTCTTAGAGGAAAAACTGTCAGAGGACTGTCACTGCATATCACTGTTGTGTGCTATCTGAGGTACACAATAATTAGCATATGGCCAAGTGTCCACAGGTACGGATATTCACTTGACACATTGAGTTACGACACCACGCTGCCAGCGCCGCCATACATCAAGTTTATTGGAACAACACACGAGGGTATTCACAAGCCCTCATATTGACTAAACTGCATACTCAAAGACGTAGACACTGATCCTAATTGGCATTTTTACATAGTCCTCACTCTCTCTCTCTCTCAACTTGTAGCGACCTCTCCCTGACTGCTACAACTCAGAAGGTCTACAACGTCTCACAACTGTAGGCTCTCTGTACAGAAGAACCGGAACAACTCTCCTATTAACTGGACCTTGATGTTCCTTCAGCAGACAACAACGGCTGACTGGAAATGGACTTCACTTGCTCGTTCTCCAAAATGTGCCCACAACACATCAGCCTATTGAAGGACTCCAATGACCGACCGGACTTCTAACACAAGTCCCCTCTAGCACACAGCTCTCATTGGCATCCCTACTGTTTTGTCATCATGGTGATCCTACTTCTCCTTGCGTCGTCACCCAGAACAGTCACTACTGGAGAGTCCAGTCCCCTTGGCCTTACTTCACCAGCCGGACAATCCCTTCGATCAGTACCGTGACTCTCACTTAGACCTTGCTGTCTGACGGGTGCATGGTACTCTGTCTGTCTCACTTGAGAGATACTGACTCTGACTCAGACTCTTGCTCTGCCTGACTGACTCTCTCTGAGGTACAGCACTCTTGTGCTGGGTGTGTACTATGCCCGCACTTCCCCAGTGCTTTAGCTCTCTGGCTGCAGCCCACTCCTTGACCTGACTGACTCTCAGTCCATATATACTTTTTCTGTCCCATGTTAGCCATGCTTGTCAGCCCCCACAGTGAACCCACACATCTACTTTCTCGGGTGTTCATGCTTCTTCCATGATAATACATTTCTCACTGGTCCCAACATTGTCTCCCCTCACTACTTAGGCCAATGTTGACACTGTTCACGGGTTATTCCCTTGAACTCCCGCAAATAACTATCATACCACTCTGTCCCTTCACACAATATTACACTCTCCCAAATCAGCACGCAACAATCACATAGGTGTCTGCAGTCATTTTCTCCTTTATTCACATTCCCTTCCCGACTTTTCCCTTACAGGCAACATGGTCATGGTGTCATGTTCCCATAAATCTACCTCAACACGTGTATCATTCATGCCCTGTTTGCATGCATGTTAAGTTTTTTGTAGAGGCCAGACTTGACGTCTTCTGCCCATCTGTAATTCACCATAGAGGTCCTTAGGGACTCTTACCATCCTCCTTCCTTCAAGTTTGTCCTAGCCATCTGAGCTTTGAAAGACTAAAAGTTAGTTGTGTATACTTTACAGGACATTGAAGAACCAAGCCCAGCATTTTTTGGCTGTTGTGGTTTTTCTAGGAAAATTTACGTCCAGTAGTTTGCCATTGCTTTATGGACTGTCAGCTTCTCGATACCACTGTCTAAACCAAAGCAAGGCCCACAGCTGAGATCAAACCGGCATTATGAAGAGTGTTCACAACACCTAAGCCACAGACACCGACTCGAAAGACTAAGCAAGAAAAATGTTGTGATAACCACTTCTTCTAATACCTCAGTGTTTATAACCTTCTCTTGCCACATAATGTCAAGTATTCTTGGTAAAGATAGCTGTTACATTAACTTATTATATCAGAATTGTTAAATTTTTACTCCTTCTTCCCCATACTGTTATAAACATCTTTGGATCAAAAACATTCTTCTTCTACTTCTCTAGTCATATATTGCCTTTCGGCATCAAGTTTTGAACAGGCATCAGACTTTTCTTTGTGCTGTGTAGGTATCAAAACATTAGCTACTTTAAAATAGAACTCAGGATGGAAAGGTTAAAATAATCACAGACCAGTATTGAATAAGGTGAATCATCAAAAGAAACATTGTGATTGCAGGTTTTTACTTTTCAAAAATTTACAAAGATGTCAGAAATAAATAAATGTAATATCTAATCAATTTTTTGTTATCAGCCTTTAGTGCTGAACCTGGCCTGTGTCACACTCAAGATGTCCATGCCTGAGGCTTTAGTTGCTGCCACTCTAAACTCTGCTCATGCCCTGGGAAAGTCTGACTTGCACGGTTCCATAGAAGTGGGAAAATTGGGCAATTTAGTACTAATAGATGCACCAAGGTAAAATCATGACCTGTTTTTTTTATTTCTTGTGTGTGTGTAAACTTCTCTCTCTCAAGTGATGAACAGTAATTAACAGTAACTGTGACCAAAAATGCTTGGTTATATAGTTGTTCTTGTTCTTGCTCACCAGCTGTGAATTTCGGTGGAAAATCCTTGTTGTTTGTCCATTTGGACTTCTGGCTTTGTTCCAGGACCTGAGTTTTGCATGTACATCAATTTTACTGTGTTCCCTGCCTCTCGGGCAGATGTACTCTGAATTCGAAGGAATACATCGATCCTATCTCTAGGACGACTGTGGTCATTGTTTCATGGGACATTATGTTGCCTCATTTGTGTGGTATCCTCTTTGTCACTTTATCTACAGATGTTGCCCCAAGAGAATCCCTTTAGTGCAACCGCATGTACACTTGACAGCCCTCAAGGGAGGGCAGAGGCAGATCATGGGCATTCCCCACCATCCAAGAAGGCTTCCATAAATGCAGAGCCGACATATGACGCTCTGGTTCTGGGCTCACACAAGGAATCATCATGTCCTGCACATGACTGCTTAACCTCACAACCGTATGTTGAGCTGTATACTCATCATGGGCTGCGTCCTCCAGAGATCAACAGGAAGCAGCCTGCAGGTCCAGAACTCTGATGACCACACAGGCAGGCATCAGGCATAGCTTCACCTGTTCCATCCCAACACTCAGGCAAGTGGGCCAATGGATACGTGTGTTCTGAACCATTCTGCCAGTCAGTAGGATATGACGATCAGACATTGAGATTTTGCTGCTGTGCCATAGAACGTACCTTTGTCGGACATTTGAGCCAACCCAGCAGACTGACATTGGCTGTTGTGGTGTACCTTGATGTAGTGACGACGCTGGGGATTTACTAGATGAACGTAGACTGGATTTTACCACGAGAAACCACCCACAGGAGATGTTACTCATCAAAGCTGCCGGCAAATCTCTTGGTCAAGGGCTGAGTCTCAGCAGTTCAGTTTTTCTTTCACTCGGCAGACTTTTAACTGAGAGTTGTCATTTAGTGGTACATTCAGCAAGCAGATTTGTTCAAAATGAGTTCTGATAGACTTTTTTCACCCATGCTTTTAGGGGTGGGCTGATGTGAGTCAGGCTGGACACTACAGCTTTGAGATCCCCTGTCAGCTCTGTTAATGCTCATTTGAGACATTATCCGTGGCACACGTCCCCCTTATGTGCGACGTGCAACAGGAGTCTTGCATGAGGTTTCGTAAGACATGCCCAGAGAAGGCTGGTGACAAACGCGATGTACGGAGTATCTCCTTATACAGACCACATTGGACTTAACTTTCCCTCACGCCCGTGACTAGAATCACATCGCCACGCTTGATTATATAAACTTTAAAACTAGAAATTATTAGTCTAAAAATTGTCTAATACTAATTTTTTTTTTTAATGAATCTCTGTAGACACTGGGCGAGCTCTGGTCGAAAAATAATTCTTTTTCTGCTGGGGATTGAACCCAGACCATTGTAGTGACTTTATAAGCAGTAGCACAAAGCCAAAATGTATCCAGTAATCTTTTTCAATTGCACAGCAATTCAGGATAATAGTTTGTATTTAGCACAAACTAGTACAGTGTATGCTACACAACTTTATAAAAAAATTGTTTTTAAATGCAACAAAAGAACAGAATAGGCCCCCAACCCCTTTCCACACATACACTAATGTTAGTTTATGCAACAAATCCGTGTCATGGAAGGTTAAGAAAAAGAATTTGTGCATGCTATAAAGAGCCAGTTTTAACCTATGGCTGTGAATCCTGGACAATTTATAAACAAATGAAACAATTTCTTGAATTCTTGGAGATGTGTTTTTATAGAAGAATCTTTAAAATTCCTTGGACAACCAAAATGAGTAGCCCAGATGTTTGGAAAGAGGACAGTGGCTGAGGACAACTTATCACAAACATTGGAGAGAGGAAGTTATGAGTCAAGTTTGGCCATGTTATGAAAAGAGGGAAATTAGAATATATTGTGATCACTAGAAGATTTTTTCACAAAGTCAGAGGAAGACAAAGTGAGCAAATTTTTTTTTACAGTTTTTTGTCATCACAAGGGGTGTCAGCAAATGAACATGTTGTTAACCATATGTTGTGGATAGGCACGGTTGCCCAAGCCAGTTGCCAAGGCACTTGATGATGATGGAGACAAGAAGGATTAGCTCTTTCAGTCCCAACCAACGCATGTGTGATCAGCTACTGCCCACGTGTAACAAGCAAGAACAATATGATCTGCTGCTTAGCCTAAGCCTACTAAAGAAATCTGGCTAGTGATTTTAATGCTCCTACTAGGTTTATGTGTTGCTGCATCTATGACAATCGGGTTCTCACATTTTATATTTACTTCATTATTGCTGCCCTTAGGAATATCCTGCTAAATCTTCTGGTACTTAAACTGTTAACTAACATTCCTGTTTAATTCTCTCAGATGGGAGCATCTGATTTATCAGATGGGAAATCATAACAACCTGATTTCTACTGTTGTGTGGAGAGGTAATGTGGTTTACCAGAAGAGCTGAACCCATACAGATGTGTGCTACTGTATGGGACGGCAGACAAGTTACAAGTTGCTTTCTGAAACTCACTACAGGGACTTTGTGGATTTCACATGTGCTTATTATCAATAAAAAAAAAAAAATATGTTTCAGTATTGTAATATTGTAATCATTTATTTAGATGTAAATATTCTAAAAATGTGTTCCTACTTTTTTGTCTTGTTTTGTGGCATAAAGGGCTGTTTCTTCTTTGTGTGTGTGTCCATGTGCATGCGACACCAGCAGCTATGTAAAGTTACAGTATTTGCTTTATACTTTTGAGAAAAGATTTATACATTCAAGATAATTATCTAAATATTTTTTCTTCGGCTAGATCATAATAAATTTATACTTCTGTCGTTAAGCAGTGTGGGCAGTCACAGTCTGTGAGCCATTGCTTGATGGACAGCAATAGCTATTGTCATTTTCTCTTGTCATTTCTTTTAAGGCGTAGCACTTGTTTTGGTAGTTGTTCTGGCCACATTCTTACTAGATAATGAAACAATCTGATCTTCTGTTTCTCATTAAATTTGCTGCATGGTGTTGTTCCTACAGTCTGATAATATTCTTTCTAACTTTGCTTTGGATGGCGGCTCTTCTCAGGCATCTCATGTAACAAGTGTTAATTTTTACTGAAAACTCTCAAGTTTGTTCCCAATTGTTACATCTTTAGTTGCAGGCAGCCCCGTATACATTTGTCCAGGGTATGTCTTGAGTTATTACTTCCTAAACTATTCATTTGTTTTTTACAAATTCACATTCATCAGAACACAAGTAATGATACAAATAATCACAAGTACGTTTGGCCAGTACACCAAACTACAATGATTAAACATGAAAACAAGTCTCAAGGAATGTAAAAATCTAATTTATTAGAAAAACCCAACAAATGGCAATACAATAGAATATAATTCTAAAAAATGTTGCATATTACCTCACATTACAGTTCAAGTCCTTCAATTATAAAGTGTAATGTTCCAAATTAACATGTGCCAAAAACCACTCATGCATGCACATTAAAAAATTTGCAAACATTTCTTCACCCAGCAATAGATACGTCACATAAAATAAAACAACCCCATTTCATCTCAACAGCAAACCAGTCTGTTTGGCCATCATGTGTTTACAATGCACACTTTGAGCATTCACACACTGCTTTAATAATGTATATTATTCCTATTAATATAACATTTCAAAATTACCCATATAATATATATATTATGTATATAAATATACACACACACACTCACATACATACCTACATATATATATATATATATATATATATATATATATATATATATATATATATATATATATATATATATATATATATATATATATATATATATATATATATTTATATATATATATCTTGTATATGTGATGTTATTATTTACATATATATGACATATCTACTAAGAAAGTTCTTTTTTTTACTTCACCACTCAAGAGTAGGGATCCACTGTGGTGTAGTGGATAGCCTGCAGATCGGAAGGTCATGGGTTCAGGTCCTGATGGAGCCAGACTTTTGTCAAAAATGACGTTGGCTCTCACGGTGACCCAGCCTTGGGTGGGTACCAGTGAAGTCCTGGGAAGTAAAGGTGGCCGAGATGACGCTAACCACATCATCCACCAAGTGCTGATTGATCTATAAAATACAGGTCTTGCCCTATATGCCTAAACGTGAGGAAAAGGATCCTTTACTTATTCAAGAGTAACATGTATCTATAGCTTCTAATTTTGATGAAGAATTTGATCCAGATACTATAAGAAAGAAATTTCTTTTTCCAGTAAACAATGCACATATCTCTCAATTACATGTAATGCCACAGCAAAGTAAACACACTAACATATTACAACATGATAATAAATATAACATGTTTATACAAGTAATCTTAGCATCAACCAATGCAGAAAAAATTGTAGAAAAAAAATCTGGGTTATGTAATGTACAATTAGAGTTACAATAACTGTTTTGGAAAAAAGATTAATATTACATTATTCAGACAAACAACTAATTTAACAATTAAAAGTAAGGGGAGGTAGCAACAAATAAACAGTGGAAAAAAATATATAACTGTGATGCAAATATGACAACAGCATAACTGTTCAATCCTTTCGCCCCGGAAAACTAAACAAATCGGTATTGTACAATGAGAATTCCTCACGGAAAAAAATTCTTCCAAACAACCTTTTTATATAAGTCGCTAATACATATTTAAACAAAAATATATTTATTCCCATCTGAATTTTTGTTTTCTAAATTTTTATAAAAGTAGTCATCAGTAAACACTATCACAGTGAAGCAATATATGGAATCATTTCCCTGGGGCCTTAAAAAAATGTATCGGGTGACTTGGGCCATATTACTGAAGCTACAGGGGAAATTTGACGTCAACAAGGGTTTCAAAAAGCTATTTGGTTCACAAGCTCCTTCCCCCCCTCCCCCACTGTTTGCAAATACTATTTTTAGTAAATATATTCATATCCTGACATCCGAAATGCTGTACGGGAGCAAACACAGCCAAAGGCAGTGACTAGCTGTCTTTTAAACAGATGACTGTGGAAATGCAGGTTGGGCGGCATTTACATGGATTTGAGCCCCACCAGAAATTCCAGATTTGCAGCTTCCTTGGCCAAAGGGTTAAGAGGTATATTCTGCATGTTACCTTATTATATTCTGTTAAAAACAGATAGATGAGGTGCACACTACCTAACCTAAATAAAGTCAAGTCCTGCAGGAAAAAAACGGAAAAGAGATCACAAATGCAAACAGTAACTAACTAATATTCTGTGCTTTATTTTAATCAAATGTGTGAAGAATGATTAGATAAAGTTCTGAAAGTATTAAAATCACCATAGGAGAACATGAAATTATACTGACTGGTTCTTGACATATGTTAATTTTTGGTATTCCACAACTGTGAGAATGAAGCAATGCATTCAGCATGTTATGAGACAAAGCAAATAAATTACAAAAAAGGTACAGAAATGGAAACCACCTAATTGAGGAGTGAGGATGTTCAAGAGAAACCTTACTATAAATGTTGATTTGATTCAAGAACTGACATTACAGCACTCTCGGCATTCCCTCAAGTGCTCCGTCCCCATCTTCAGCAGTCAGCGAAGAGTTCTGATATAAATGTTCATGAGAGAAGCCAGAGATGCCACTCTCAGGTTCCATACAAAGTATCAAAAGGATTGCATGGGATGGAGTGAGGGAATATATTACAAGCTCCATGTGACTCATAAATGCAGAACATAATAATAATGGTTCCACAATTGTAACTTTAATGTTGTTTAGTATATTCCATAACAATGTTTGGTACTTATCATAAAAATCACCCCCATCTTGTCAGGTGCAAGATTTTGTGTCGGCTCCTATACATGCCGTGGCCCTTCCCACAGCCTGTCCTATGTTATAGGGGTGGTATGATATGCATTCCTTTGCCTTCACCACCTATACACCCCAAGTGTAAAAGTGACTCCTGTTTGTTTGAGGTGCAACATGAAAGTATGGAGCTTTCATTCGTGGCCAGCGACACTGAGTGACTTTAAAAAAAAAAACATTTGGGTGTCTGTGCACATGCAAGGGTTCAGCTAGTTTTCTTTTCTCTGTCAACTAAGGCTCTTATGCAACCGTCACTGGCTTGAGAATTGGTGAAATATTGGGGCAGACCCTAGGTCAAGTCACCAAGTAAGGCCGCTGTAATAGCAAGGAAGAGCAAAAGCGCAATGCAATTAACACACACAGCACCGACTGCTCATTGCGTGGAAAACAGACCATACTGGCCTCTCACAACTTAGGATATAGAATGCTTACAGCTTTGAAAATAACAAAACATGACACTCCTAGAACATAAGACAGCCTGTGGGAAATCTCTCGCCCAATGAGATGGCATGATTTTCATGATACGTACTGAAGGTTTTACCAATTAATTCATGTGTTTATTATCTTGCATTACAAACCTTTCATTATGAAAATATTAACAAAATCAATATTTTAAATATATTTGGCAAAGTGTTATAAATCTCACTTATCATCAAGTATTATATCTGCACTGAAAGTCGGCTGTAACATCTCCATTATTCTAATGCCGTCAGAATGCATGGGTACTTGACTGGACGCTACACAAGCATAGATGACCCATGCTAACCTGTATATGTCAAGTGACTTGCCATAAATAAGAATTTTGTTTGCTTTCAGTGGTTTTGATAGGGGCCCCAGAACACAGGCTTGCCCAGACCCATAAAGCTGTTAAGGCGGCTCTGCATCATCCTCCTTAGGCATTCTTCTAGTCTATCTTTTGATGTTGTCTTTGCACATGTAACATTACCTTTATTCTTAATTAGAATAACATAATGTCTGTATGGGATTGTGCCACAAGAAAAGCTGAGTGGTGCCTACAAGGGAAGAGCACAGTAGTCAGCTAACCAACTATATACTATAAAATGAAATTGCTTGCTTTGTGTCAATGAGGAAAGACTGGATGTCCGGTAACTGCTGCATTTCCCCAAGTATAAGACGCTTTCATGTATAGGACACACATTGACTTTGAGGCCGGAAATGTGGGCAGAGAGAAAAGTATACTACCGCTGTATATTGTTTTTAGACCCTATATTTTTGGGAAAGTGTTTCATACTTGGGGAAATATTATATCTCTTGCAGTTCAAGTTCTCCAACATTAAGACACAACAATATATGACAAATAATGTGTTCAAAGCAGTTATAGTTATCACAAGGCATGTTTCAATCAGAAGAATTCCATAAAACTAGCACTTAAAAGATACAGCTTCACATTTTATATTAGTAAATGCATGTTTTCAGACCATTATCTAGTACAGCATACACATAAACAAGAAACAACAAAAGAAATGTATTACTTTAAAATCTTTTTGTTTAAATACAAAATATAGTATTTTCACACAAGTTTAGTCAATGAATCAGTGAAATTGCACTTATGGACTGCATAGATTTCTTTGAAATGAACAAATCATCAGCTCATTATCAGATTATAAATAAGGAATTATTACTAAATATGACCATAAAGTAGCTCTACACTCCAAATCAATCCACATCCATGCAGATTTTTGTAAGTGACCCTACACTCCCAAAGCCTAAAACTGGATACCAGGAAAAGTAATGGGAAATTAAGGTGGCCAGCACGATGTCAACAACATAATCCATTACTCACACTCTAAAGGTAATTAATTACACTCCCAAGGTCTTTACTTACAATCCCAAGGTCTTCACTTACACACCCAAGGTCGTTACTTACAATCCCAAGGTCATTACTAAACTCACAAGGTCTTTACTTACACTCACAAGGTCTTTACTTACACTCCTAAGGTACCTACTTACACTCCCAAAATCTTTGATTACATCCTCAAGGTCTTTACTTACATACCCAAAGTCTCTACTTACACTCTCAAGGCCGTTACTTACACCACCAACTAGATGAGACAGACTGAAAAACTTGCATGTGGTCAAGGAGAATGCATGCCACAAGACAATACATCACCACTTTGTATTCTTACTCATTAAGAACCAGGGCATCTGGCCAACACTCAACAGTTAGGGAAAAGGCAAGAAAGACATACAGTCAGACTGCTACTAGTGCCGCCGGACAATGAACTATGCACTGGCTACTGAAGATGGGGACAAAGCTCTTGTGGAAATTTCCCAACTGATGTGATGTAACTGTTTTAACTCAACTCAAAAAAAAACAAAAAACAAAGGACTACAGGTTAAACTGGGCTGATAAAGACATTACAGGTGACCTAATTATAACTTCTCTGGAGGTAGAACAGGGTATATGCCCTGTTGGTCTGATCCATATTGAGATTTATTTGTCTTGGGGTAGTAATGAACCTTCATGTAGCATCCTGGAGGGGACAAACAGACTGATCTATCACTACTCTGATGAACTAACAACACAGTCATATATAAGATTTACCCTGTCCCTGCCAGGTAACTCATCTTATATTTATATATTACTGCATATATGGCCAGATATTTCTTTTCTTCTGTCCAAATGTTCTGCTCTATTTACTCATCCTATCCCATTTGTTACTTTTAATCTCCTAGTCTTACAAGTGTTAATTATAAATGATTAAGACTCAATGACTGTTGTAAAACTAACTTTTTGTGATAAAAGATGTTAAAAAAAAAAAGCTTCAGACAAACAAACAAACAAAAAAAAAATTCACATAAACTACACATTTTATACTGGTTTAACTAAAGAAATTGTGTCATAGCCAGCTGCAGGCCTCGGAAATGAGATACCTGAGAAAGTAATCCAAGTGACAAAAATGGACAAAGTCCGCAATCAGACAATACGTCAAGATTTTGATACCAAGTCTTTACAAACCCAACTCACAGTTACGATGGTTTGGACTTTTATGCAGAATGGGAGAAAATCGGCCACCATGGCAGGCATGGGAGGCTAAGAACCGGGAACCAGACCTCCAGGGCGGCCCAAGGTCCGCTGGAAAGACAACATCCGACAGTCCTAAACTGACAGAGGACTGGAATGGAACAAAGCCAGAAAGAAAACAGCTGATAGAGACGTCTGGCGATCTCTCTGGCAAACCTCTACACCCCAAGGTAGAAGAGGAGCGACTAAGTAAGTAAGTTAACTAAAATTTTGTAAAAGGTGACTAATTAGAGGTTTGCTGAAATCAGATGTGTTCGGTCAACAGCTGTCTGCCTAAAGGGCTGATGTTCAAATCTGCATCGAGGCAGATTCGGTCAAAACTAACCTTGGCTCTGAAAATGGGTACAGGTAATGTGTTGGCAGGTAAAGGTGGATGCAGACATTGATCACATCACCCAGGGAGTGCTGATTGGTCTATAAAAATATGAGTCCAGCATCATATGCCCAATGCACCATCGTATACAAATAGGGCCCTTTCACTTTACTTAATTATGCAAGGAATTGTTCTTGAGTAGTCAATATCTTAGTCAGTTGGGGTATGTCTGAGACATATTAAAGAATTTATAAAAAAACAAAAATAACAGAGAGACATTTTGTGACAGGTGTTACACTATTATCAAATAACTGACTAGTTCAATCATTTCCGTCACAGACATGTATAAATTTAACATTTTACATCCTGAACATGTGTTAGTTAACGCCAAACATCTCTGGGTCTGAATGAGTTCAAATAACACAACAGGAAAGAATGTATTAAAAATGAGGATAGAATGGCTTATGGAGGAGTAAGGATTGTATATGCTTACATACTGACAACTCAATGAAAACTTAATTTTGTGATATCTTTTTTAACAAGTTAACTGCTATCCACATTTATTTTTGTTGCTATCTGTGATCAGCTGTCGGATGGTCCATGAAAAAATGTCCCCTGGTTTACTGGTCCATGGATGTAAACAAGCTGAACAACACTGGTATATATTAGTATAAGTAAATCAATATAGTATTTGAAGAGAACTATTGTTACTGAGGCATCGGACAAGACTCAGACATTTCATCACAGTTTGGATAAATGCTCAGGTTCGGGTTGTCTAAATCACCTCTGTTTTTATGCTGTGTACTTTCTGGATCATGAGATGGTGGGCCTGTTGTCCTGACACATGCACACCTAGGTTTGGAGCTACCAGCAACATAGTACATCCTTGGTACACCAACCCAGTCTCTGGCTATACCGCCACTTAGTTTTGTGCACCAAATTCGCCCACCGCTAGCCTGACTCCATTCTGAATTGCAAGGAGGAAACAAACGATTGTCATTTTCAACCATCTCTTTCTCTAGCATTGCAATTTTCAACTTCTTTCTGTAAACATCCAACATTGGCAACTCTGCCCCATTTTTATCATAGAATGCACCTTCGACTTTGCCAACAAAAGTGTAATCTTTCTCATAAAATGACTTCCAGTTGTCCAGTGAGAGGACTTCTGCTGGTGTTAGTTCAGAAATATCGTCAACTAAGCCGTCTTTATCAAACTGACCAGTCACATATGCTTTAGAACCATCTATGCCGGCAAAGAATTCATAACCTCCTCCTGGACCATAATGTTTTCGCCCTTTTGAAACATCGTAAACATGACCAACTAGTGCTAAATAAATGGTTTCACCATTATCGCCTTTGAATTTTGCCAGCTCTTCCTTACTAAACACTGTCACGGAAGTGGGAGGGGTGCTGCGGTTTTGCGAATGTTCAAATAAGGCAAATACACTATTTAATATTGAAGACACGCTGTTGGGGCTTATAAAATATGCAGCAATAAAAACTGCTGTTGATAATAACAGCACCACTTTCCCTTTCATGACAACAATATAAAATCTTGTAGTTGAAAGTGAAACTTGAACAGACAGTTCGTTCAATAACAATTGTCAACAAAAACCTGACCCGGAAGAGATATTTGATAGGTCAGTACGCAGATTTAGCGATGCAAGGGTAGTATACTATTACTACTATTAGTATTCGCCGAAATCAGTTGTTATTGTTACAGTTTCTTTCTCTGTAATTTTGTAAAATTGACATTGAAATTTAAAATATATTACAAAGTAAATAAATATATAGGTACGCAAAAGTGACAGTTTAACTATTGGTTAAAAGATAATAAATATTTGACTTGCTGTTAAAAAGGAAACAATTCTGGGCTTAGTCGTTACGGGAAAAGCGTCAAAATGGCTGCCTTTGGATTGCATTTAGGCACATGTTCTGCCTGCCTGGCTGTCTACAGGGTAGGTTTTTTTAATGTGGAGTAAGTTCTGTTTTGAGAAATCTATTCGCCTGAATTTATTGTAATGCTACACGTAGTTGTAAATGTCAAAATGAGGTTTTTACATACTTAAAACTTATTATTTGCAGTCGGTCTGCTTCCTCTTCTTTCAGTACTTCGGGGTACCTGCGCGCGGACGTTCCCCCGCTCTGGGGGGACGGCGTCCGCGCGGGAGCTCCTCCTCGAGGCCGCGAGGCTTAATGAGGTCGGTCCGCCGGCCCGCCCTCTGGTCTTCTCATGTTGTCCTCTTCAGTGTTCACAGTTCACCTCATGTAATTTGTCGACTGTCATTGTCTGAATTTGAATATCGCAGAGGTGAAATTTTCCATACAAATGACAAATGTAAACATTAGTGAGGAATTCATTCAACTAGGTACATTTATTCAATTATTGAACATTACCATTACGTTTCTTAGACTATCCTCCAAATAGCGGCCAAAAACACACATTGACAGACAGGGCCTCATTAGGTTGTGTGTTGTAAACATTTAAAAACTTGAACTAGAAAATAAGAAGGAACAAAAAAAAGTGAAAATGACTAAATCGACTACTTTGCGATAATTGAGGCCTTTGTATCTGAAAATTGTGCCCGAAAATCTGTTCTTCGTGGCTGTGGCGCCATTGAAACTCGGCTAAGCTAAATATGATTCGTGATGCATTGGACAACACTTTTTACCGCTGAGTGTATCTCCCGTGCTGCTACGTCTGGCGCAGAAAGGGGGCTAAACTAGATTCCTGGGACTCACGAGCAAATAAATTGGAGGAAGTTGCAGGAGATGCGGTAGCTGCTGCCTGTGAGTCCCAGCAAACAAGTTTAGCCGACTTCCCCCCCCCCCCCATTCGCACGTAGCAGCACCGGGGATACGCTCGGCGGTAAGTTTAATCGAAAGAACACTCGCTAACCTGCATCAGAGCGCGTGGTCTCCCCACAATGTCACTATTATCGTGGGAGCTCTCCTCCGAACTTCTACCCCGGCAGTATTGCGGCCTAAAATATCAGTTCAGGGCACAGTCCAATTAAAAATACGGACTTGTCGGAGTTCCCGCCGAGGAACAAATTGCGGCAAAACTAGGAGTACCTTAAATGTCACGAGACGCAGCATTGCAGACGATAAAAGCGACCGGTGACAATGTCGAGCGTTTTCTGCAGACGATGAAAGTGATATGGTGGGTAGACCACGCGCTCCCACGCAGATTAGCAATACTGTTCTTCCGATTGAGGATTTAGCAGCGGTAGATGTCTGACTTGTCGACATGCGCAAAACGTGATTAAACTCGCCGCCGATCTTATCCCCATAAAGGACAAAAGGCTCAGAGAAGATGCAAACCAAGAGCAGTCCATCTCTTGATAAAGCACAACTTCAGGGCCAGATTACCAAGCTGGAAAGTGAGATGAAAACCCTCAGAAGCAGGGGACATACAGTATGCAAGGAGATAGACGGGTAAGAGAAATCCTGAAGACCACGCTAGAAGTTAATTGGGGAAAGAAGTAGAAATAGTGGCTCTACTCATTAAAATAAAGAACCAACGAAAAATAGACAACATGGGTGACCTTTCAAGCCAGACAGAAAAATAAAACTCAAAAGCCAAGACTAGGTGAGAGACGTGGAGCAGTTGTAGCAAAGAAAACCATGAAAGAGCTGGTGAAACGATCCAGTGGAACAGACTTTAGCTAAATTGCACGGGAAGCAATGAAAATTAGCAGCATACAGATTATATCAAGTGGCGATTATTCTGTGGAAATACAAAAGAATCAACCTGGTCCAGAAGAAAACATTCCAAGCCAGCAACAGACTGACGGCCTGGGACATTATGGAGATATGGGTGAAGACGACATACTGATTACGTTGACAAACCCTGGTCAAGATTGCAATAGCAACTGGGGACCTAGGCCTAATGACAGCTATTAAAAGCAACATGAAGAACAGGTACAGCAATTTCACTATGAAAAGCGCAGGAGACAGCCCAATCAATGGCAGTAACACCACCAACGAAGCATAATGTAAATGTACACAGCGTGTTTACATCTTCGGATGAGCACAGGAGAAGATAGTAATAATATCCTGAGTTTCCACTGTATAAGCAACTGTAGTCAGTAAACAGTAGTTTTCAAGTGCCTGTACTTACATACTAAAAAAAATTTAATAATACCTAAAGTGTCAAAATTTTGTGGGGCCTAATAAAAAAGTTTTTCGTTAGTGGGATCTTGGCTGGAAACAGCTGTTTATGGCATGGGTTTGATGCCCCTATGTTAGCCAGCACATATCATCTTCTTTTACATTCATCATTTTGTGGTTTACATCTAAACAGCAAGTGAGTATGTCTGGCCGCCCTCCACCCCCCCCCCCCCTTTTTCCATGAAGTCCTGGGGCTCATTTAGCAGGTCTAATTAACTGAGTTTATTCAGGGGCCACAGTTGTGAAAATCGGGATCGGCCTGAGCCCTAAGTATAGAAAGATTAATAGTACAATAAAGATGGCAGTGATCTGTAGGCCATTTGTTAGACCTCTGTTGGCCAGTGGGCAGCTAATTAAATAGTCCAGTTTTAGCACATTTTACCTGCTTTCATTTTTGTGTCCCCAACCAATACTGCATTGTTTTAATAACCGTTGAATATTTATTGTGTGTGTGTGAGTGTACATTCATAAGTCAGCAGCACATTCTTCTGAGAAAGATCTTTTTTTTTTTTTTTTTTTTTTTTGAACTTTCTGGTGGCCAAGACTTGTTTACATTGTTTAATATTTTCCATATCTTTCAGGATGGCAAAACAAATGTTGTGGCAAATGACCTCGGTGACAGGGTCACTCCTGCTGTTGTGGCTTTTACTGATCATGATATAGTAAGTTGCAAGTATTTAACCTTCTTTTTGTGAGAAGCACAAATAACAAAAATGTTGAGACTGCAAAGAAAACTGAACTGCACAAATTCTGGCAAGACTCACCATGCACACATTCAAACACGAGTTACCATGCACACATTCAAACACGAGTTACCATGCACACATTCAAACACGAGTTACCATGCACACATTCAAACACGAGTTACCATGCACACATTCAAACACGAGTTACCATGCACACATTCAAACACGAGTTACCATGCACACATTCAAACACGAGTTACCATGCACACATTCAAACACGAGTTACCATGCACACATTCAAACACGAGTTACCATGCACACATTCAAACACGAGTTACCATGCACACATTCAAACACGAGTTACCATGCACACATTCAAACACGAGTTACCATGCACACATTCAAACACGAGTTACCATGCACACATTCAAACACGAGTTACCATGCACACATTCAAACACGAGTTACCATGCACACATTCAAACACGAGTTACCATGAGCAGAACAGAAAAAACTAGAACACTTCACACACTCACATTCCAGTTGGTCACCTTGAGCAAAAAGTTAGAAAACAACACATGCACACATCTCAGCAAGTCATCAGTATGAATTGCAGTAATAAACATAAAAATAAACGTGCGTGTAGGTTATTTATTCAAATATAATACTGATACACCAGACGATAGGTGCATTTAACATTTTAGTTTAAGTGTGTCTTGTGAATAAGAATAGATTAATCTTCCTTTATCATTTCATAATGCAAAGCAGGTATCCTGTAATGTTTAATAAATTTCAGGAATGTTTCAATCAAATGTCTAAATTTATTGATGAAAGTCTCTTTATATTTAAATCTTTATATTAAATGTTTGTTTGCTACTGGTGTTTATATACGTGTGGGTGTGTGTGTATATATATATATATAATTTTGTATTATTTATATCAGAGACATGGTGGGTAATGCACAAACCTGCCAAGAAGTTAGCCGGGTTCAGCTCCCAGCAAGGCAGGATTATGTTTTCACGATTAGCAGCATGGCTGACCCAGCTTCACAAAAATGGTTTAAAATCTGTAGGGTTAACTCTTTTAAAATCACCTTTCTCTCATTTTTAAATTGTATCTTCTGAAATATTTATTTGCTTTTAAGATTTATATCATGCAAATTGAACTTATAAAATTAGTAGTATTTTTTATTATTATGACTTGTCAATTGCTTGGTTTAGATATTTGTTTCTTAATATTGCAGGTTAGTTGTATTAAAACTAAATCCCTTTTTTTCCTTAGTCCGTTGGTGCTGCTGCCAAACAAGGCATCATCCGCAATGCTTCAAATACAGTATGCCACGTGAAACGTCTTGTGGGTTGCCGTATGGACGACCCTCAAGTGAAACAGTATAAAGAAACTTCAAATGTCATTGTGAGTATACAATTTTTTTTGTGTAAACAACATATATAAGGCAAACAGATATGTCTGTGGGTGACATCAGATGGAAGATGTACCATTGAAGTTATTTATAATAAGATGAACTAGTGACAGCCTGCGAGGACATTTCTGGAATTTGGTTGTTTTGCATAATGTTACAATAAGCAAGCAGTATGCTTATCTGAAACATCCCATATTTTATTAGAGGCCATAAGGTTGTGTAAGTAAGGTATTCTTCTGCTTCACGTTCACTGGCTGCAATCTGTCAGAAAGTTCTGGTTGTTTGTCCACTTCTGGACTTTAGTCTTGTTCCAGTACTTGGGTTTTGAGTGTGCATCCATTTTACAGATAAGGCTTATTTGTATGCAGTTAGTTAGTTCCTTGCCTTTCAGGCAGATCCAACATGAATTCAATGGAGACACCCATAACTAGTTCACTTTTACAACATGATTGTTGGGGAGGAGGCAGTGGGTCTGTCTTTGCTCTACACAGTGGAGAACTGAATCATGTCAGATGCGTACTGTCTAAACAATTTTCACTTCCTTACCCTCCTAGGACTGCAGGTTACTCCAGGCTGGTGTAATTTATAATTTCTTTTGTGGTTGAACAAGGCATCATGGAATGCCCTGTTAGTCTGACATCCAGATTGAAATTTTGTAATCTCAGTGTGTCAGACTTTCAGGTGGCAGCCTAATGTGGAAAAACGGCATTTGCTATATAAATTATGTAATGCTATGAGAAGAAAAGGGCTATCCAGTCCATCAAAAGTGAACTGTTTGGCCACAGATAACTACCGCTTACTTGACCGGCATGGGCAGGTCATTATTCTATGCCCCAGGACAGGACATAACAAACTTAACAAGCATATGTACAGGCTCCAGATTCACCATTGTGCCCTTGTGGGCTGTGTGTGCAGACTGCTGCCCATTAAAAAGGGAATATTGGCCTAGTTAGTCAACACTGCGCTCAGAGTTCTATGCAACTAAAAAGGAACTCCTTAAAACTCAAGTTTAACATAAGAACATGTCTGTCTGTGTGAACCAGAAAGCGAACACAAGAAGAAGAAGAAACATCAGCACATAATGAAATGCAAAGTGAATTCTTTGAATTGCTTACACAATTCAAACTTTATTACAAAATAAAGTAAAGGACCCTTTTTCACGGCTGCAGGCGTATTGGGCATATAGGGCTGGACCTATATTTTATGGACCAATCAGCATTTGGTGAGGGTTATGGTTAGCATCGCACAAGACACCTTACTTCCCAGGGCTGCACCTGATACCCATTCAAGGCTGGGTCGACCTGGGAGCCAAGGTCACTCTTGACAGAAGTCCGGCTCCATCAGGACTCGAACCTATGACCTTCCGATCTGAAGTTGGGTGTCTAGCTGCTAAACCAAGTCGACTCCCATTCAAAGTGAATTATTTCACAAAGTGTTACTATAGAAGTCTTACACCAGCCAGCATGGACGTTCAACACAAGATTACCCTTTATATTATCTCTGTATATTTTAAAGTACGACAAGAAAACATTGCTTAGACTTTATAATCTACTTTCAGTTTCCTTCAATGAATGTTTAACTCTTTCAGGATGATATTTTTTCTGGGGTTTGGACAGCATTCATTTTGAGAGCATTTTTTTACTGCAACATCACAAAGCAAATACCTTTCTGAAGAAAAAGTAATGGCTGTAAAGAGATATATAATATATCAAATTAAAGAGAAATAAGGGCAGAATAAATCATAACTATTTGAATGTCATTATTACAACAAAATATGATTAAAATCACAAAACATTCAAGGATGTTAGACACACATGATGATTATTTACACACACAAATGTTCTACTTGCTTTACTTTTTACTTCTTCAGCAACACTGCTATCCATTTTTGAGAATTAATATGCCTTCTCTGTTCAGTTATCTATCAGCTAGTCTTTATTTAAAACAAGTAATTTAAATACTTTGGATGTTATGACTATTTTTGTATGACATGTCAGATTTCACAACAACCTAAATCGGAAAACAGCTGATCAAAATAGAGATGATCTGATTGAAATATTTTGATCAGTCTTCATCCTAATCTAAATTATCAACAAAAATATTTTGTCAATCTTCATCCTTATCTAAATTATCGGCAATAGGTTTGGCACTTGCATTATCGGTCATAATATCAAGACTGTTTTCACTATCTGGCTGAGATTCATCAATGACACAGTAGTATGAACAGTTCTAGACCTTTTCCCTTAATTTTTGGTCTGAAAGAAAATCACCTAAAAATGGTACCACATCTAATTAATGTAAAACAAATCATAAGTCATGCAAACACCATAACAAACTTCAAAAACGAAAGGATTTCATTTAGTTAAATCTAGTTTTTCAAAACATTTTCATACAAATTCATTTTCCCAGTAAATGAAACGGTATTAGAGTATCTCTGTGAAGCTCTATAGAGTGGCGAATGGTCTGAATAGAATGGATTAAAAAGCCACCTAAGTGGCGACTAGTCCATAAAGAGTTAAAAAACTTTGTTTTCCTTGTAGGTTGCAAATGAAAGTGGTATACCTGTGTTTGAGGTTGATCATAAAGGAAAAACTGTCAGATACACACCCAGTCATATTATGGAGCTTATATACAAGAAAATGCTAGGTAAGTTGGTATTAAATGTCTGATGTATGATCTTAACTATAGTTTTTTTTTTCTTTTTTTTCCCAGTATTTAAATGATTGCTGCATAGATTGACTACTGCTACTTGACAGTCATGAAGTTGTTCAAAACATTTACTAGCCTAAGCAATAGAGTTGCACTGTTGAACACTTTAGTTCAAATGCTAATTTTCTTCTATAGTATTTGTGAAATAATCCATGATTCCTATCCATTTGTTTTCACAGGAAAATGTGTTTTACTTTTATGTGTTTACCAAACTGTTTTATAGTTATTAAGGTTATTTACCCTCTGGTGTTACTTCGTGAAGTGTATTGTATAAATCTATACCCTGAACTCGTGAAATGTGTTGTATGAATCTATACCCTGACTTCGTGAAATATGTTTTATGAATATATACCCTGACTTCATAAAATGTACTGTATGAATCTGTACACTGACTTCGTGAAATGTATGAATCTGTATCCTGACTTCCTGAATCTGTTATATGAATCTACTCCGTGACTTGATAAAAAAATGAATTGTATGAGTCTGTACCCTGACTCCATGAAATGTATTGTATGAATCTGAACCCCGACTTCATGAAATGTATTAATCTATACCGTCTTCCTAAATTGGTACCCAGACTTCATGAAATGTACTGTATGAATCGATACCCTTACTTTAACAAATGTATGAATCTATACCCTGTATACCATGACTTCATGAAGTGTATTTGATGAATCTATACCCTGACTTAATTTGCCTCTTTTATACAGAAACTGCTCAGAGCCATGGGGGTGCTGGGATAAAGGACACTGTTATAGCAGTGCCCCCAGAGTTCAGTGCCACTCGGAGACATTTAATCAGGTAATAATTAGGCTGCCTTTGTTTCGGAATTCCAAGAACCGCCAACCTAGGCAGCAAATGTCTGACGAAATGTGGAACTCACTTTGTCTGCCAAAAGGTTAAAATGTCGCACCTATGCTGGAAACATGCACAGTGCAGTTACATCCTTGGGCAACAAAGAAGAAAAGGTTTCTTTATTCACTTTATTGCTCTGTTCATTCATCCGCCTTACAAGGTGTTCCAATTGTCTGGTCTTGGAGGAAGTACCTTTCTTCTAGTCTCACTGAGTTTAATTCAGATAAGTCACTTAGCTTTTTTCCTAGAGGCCTTAACTCCAGGAGTCATTGGAGTATCCAGATGTACAGAAATAAAATTATTAAATACTGACTGTCACACACTCTAAAAATATGACCTTAATGACTGTAGTTGTTGCATTTTGTCTCATCACAACCATAGAGGGAAGATAAATAGGGCATATCAACATAAGATTTGGAATGGAGAATGTAATCTTACATGGGAAAATACTAGACTGGGAAAGTTGTATTAGTGATTGAAGTAAAGGGTCCTTTAAACCCCAGCGCATGATGCTAGACTCATTTTTCTAGACCACTTTGTACTCATTGGATGATGTGTTCTACTGGCTGCTTTACTAACCAGGACATTATCTGGCACTCATTGGATGATGTGTTCTACTGGCTGCTTTACTAACCAGGACATTATCTGGCACTCATTGGATGATGTGTTCTACTGGCTGCTTTACTGACCAGGAAATTATCTGACACTTATTGGATGATGTGTTCTACTGGCTGCTTTACTGACCAGGAAATTATCTGGCACTCATTGGATGATGTGTTCTACTGGCTGCTTTATTAACCAGGACATTATCTGGCACTCATTGGATGATGTGTTCTACTGGCTGCTTTACTAACCAGGACATTATGTGGTGTACTGGTTGCTTTATTAGCCAGGACATTATCTGGCACTCATTGGATGATGTGTACTGGCTGCTTTACTGACCATCACATTACCTTTTACTTAATGGATGATGTGGTCTACTTTCGGCTTTACTGACCAGGACATTATCTGGCACTTATTGAATGATGTGGTCTAACAGTTTTTGAACATTTTGGCCCCTGAGCCAACTTAGTTAAATAGCCATGGTCTATTGTATGTTCTATGTCCTGTTCTCTGTAGAATGGTTAACATTCAAATATTAGAAACTGATAATGGAGGCAGTTACACATTTTAGAAGCATCACATTATACCTCTGTGGATACCCAATTCTCACATGTAGTAACTTTTAATTTTTGTTCTGGGATTTTTCTTTAGTGAAGCAGCCACAAAAGCGGGATTCAACATCTTGAGGGTTGTCAATGAACCATCTGCTGCCTTGCTTGCATTTGATGTTGGCCAGCTGGATCAAACAGAGCATTTGTAAGCATTCATGCATTTCTTTATAAATTTAATACATATACATGAACTATTTTAACTCCTTGTTCTTCTCCTATTAATAATGCTGCTGCCCATATCAAATTAACAGTGAGATAAAATGCTTGAGGAAAGCAGCCAGCTGAATCGTCTGAGACTGAGTGAGAGGTGATACTGTTAGACAGACTGTTGGAACATCTTGCACCAAATGCATTGAGGAGCAGACGATCAAGTGGTTTGGTCTCTCATTAGAATACAGCCACAACAACTACCAACACATGTGCCACACCCAACACAGTATGATGTGAAAGCAAGAGAGTGCACAAGGAGAAGATGGATTGATGACATTAAAGACAATTCTGCATCCACGCTGAATGGCAGTTGCCATGGCTTTGGGCGGCAAACTTTCCTCTTCTTTCACTCCTGCAGGAGTGGGGTGTAGTGTATGATAATGCTCATTGCTCAAAGCCCAGTCCCACATCCATATCATGGGAGGTGGTAAATGGGACAAAATAGGAGATTGGTACTATTGGGCGGAGTATGGTGTGGCCTTGTGCCATGAGGACACTGTGGTAGCAGTGAAGGCCTTCTTGGGTCACCCCAAAACGTCATGGCCAGCAGAGCTTTGAAGTCTGAAATTTGAGTTTAGAAGTCAGTGATGAATTTGTTATCGCTGCCCAGAATGCAATGAGACATAAATGATGTGTATATGGTTGAGGTAGCAGGAAGCAGAAACTCCCCTCGACGCCCCAAGTATTAAAGAGAAAGGTGAAGAAGATTTGGTGGTTGTTACTATATCTTCGTTCACATAGGCCTTATATTTTAGTGACCCATCTTCCTATTTCCATCTTGATGTTATCTAATTTTTCCATTATTTGTTTGTTTGCTAATGGGTTTAGTATGTGCAAAAAGCAGTGATATCACTGAAAGAAGGAAACACAACCAACACCAGCCTGAAGAGACAGTGCACTGGGGACATTTGCTGTCTCCAACACTATTTAATATATCCTCAGAAATTGTGATAACAAAAAGGAAATGGTTATAAATTGAGGATTAAAGTAAAAATTAATTCGAAATAGTTACAGACTAACAATAAATGTGTCAGTTTTGGTTATATAAACAAAATGTAAATGTTGCTGCCTGTGAAGATCAGAGGTTTGAGGTTTAAACAACAGATCAGCATCATGGCACACTGGTAGTAACCAGTGAGTGCTCAGTTCTTCTTCTAACTCAAATCTGAGTCTAAAGAAGCTCAGCACAGTGCGCAGGCTCTAGCACCGGCGAGGATCCTGAAATACTTTGGGTATATTTTTACCTAAAAATTTGCCCTGGCAGCGCCGTTAGGCTACTCTTTTTGATTTCCAACCACCAAGAGATTTTTTTTATGTGTGCAACAATGCGCACAGACGTAGGAATTACCAGAATTATAAGTCCACGTGAAAAAAATCCCAGCCCTTGAACCCGGAACCTCTAGCACTCGAGGCGGACACCATGCCTGGAGACCACGCATACCCTAAGAACATCAGAAAATTGTACTAGAATCTTTAGGAGTAAATATATTGCTTTTATTGTATGTAGTCTCTACTGATTTCCTGTTGCCTTTAGCCTGTATGACTTTGGTTGATCACATCTTTACAGCAAAGCGCTAGTGTACCGTCTGGGTGGGACTTCCCATGAGGCCACAGTGTTGGAGGTTCAGCATGGGATGTACAGAATAGTGGCTAATGTAGCAGACTCACAGTTTGGTGGAGATAAGTTCACGGATGTCTTGCAGGACTTCCTCATTTCAGAGTTCAATAGGTGAGTATTTTGTGAATGTCTGTTTCTATGTCTGTGCATTATGGTAAATAAAAATTCTGTGAACTCCTTCAGTCCCAAAAATGTTATCACCAGATAAAAAAGCCCCATATAAAACCATGAGATTATTGCTTTTTAATGAGGCCAAATACCCAACTTAAATGGGCAGTGTAAAAAACAGATTTGTTTAGAAATATAAGTACATTGCAAACTGGCCATAGCTCAGTGGAGGGAATAGAAGGAATGCACACACATACAACCAGATGTTTCAACCAAAATCAGTACATTACTTTAATAGTCAGCCACCCTTTTAAGGGGGAACATAGAAGAAGAAGAGGATAGTGTCTTTGTCTGATACACCTCAAGGCAGAGAAATAGGCCCTTTTTAAAGGCTTTAGTTACTTTTATTTTCTGTCATCTGCTGAAAAGGAACTCCTTAAAACTCAAGTTTATCATAAGAACATGTCTATCGGTGTGAACCAGAAAGCGAACACAAGAAGAAGAAGAAACATCAGCACATAATGAAATGCAAAGTGAATTCTTTGAATCGCTTACACAATTCAAACTTTATTAACAAGTAAAGGACCCTTTTTCACGGCTGCAGGCGTATTGGGCATATAGGGCTGGACCTATATTTTATGGACCAATCGGCATTTGGTGGGGGATATGGTTAGCATCAGACAAGCCACCTTTACTTCCCAGGACTGCACCTTTTACAAGGAATAGGCAGGCAGATGTAATTTTTTGTTTAGTTGTCATTTGTTTGCTGTAGAAGACTGGTTGAAGTGTTCATGTGTTTGTAGCCCAAATGTTAATATTTGACATTTACTTTTGATTTAAATAATGAAGACATCAAACAAATAATAATAAACGATGGAGAAATTGAATCTTTAGTAACTATGGATGCAGTGATTCAAAAGCTGGAAGGCTTGCTTGTCTGCCCAGCGATCGTATATTTCAACCTCCTGGATTTTTATACAAACTGACCAGGACTCAAAATGTCTGCTGCTTCTTTCCTCCTCTAGCTTCCTGGAGTAGATTTTCAGAGAATTAAAACAGCAAATTTCTGTTAAAAGACTGGGGGGGGGGGGGGGGGGGGGGGGGGGGGTTGTTTAAATGGATCTTTTTTTTTTAAAAGATAATTAAGGGGTGAAAGGGTTGAAATTACAATGAAAAACCATTGTTTTAAATTTATTGTTAAATATCAAGTACTATCTAGAACCGAACTTTCCAGTGTCGAGATAAGTTAGTGTGTCAGCTGCCGAGTGAATGTGTGGTCGCATGAACATAGCGTGTGAAGCACCTAATGTCTGTGTCTGTATCTTTTATAGTGGTTAATTTTAATCTCCAAAATCTGCCATGGTGTAACGACTTGATGCTCGCCTGCAGATTCGGAGGTTGTGGGTTCAGGTCTTGATAGAGCCAGACTTTTTAAAAATAACTTTGGCTGTCGGGTCAACCCAGCCCTAAATAAGTACCAGGTGAAGTAAAGTAAAAGTAAAATTCCCTTTTTACGCCTAAGGCACATCGGGCATGTGGGAAGAGCTCCCATAATTTTACAGACCAGACGGCACTAGATGGGTAATGTGGTCAGCATTACACCGGCACTAGGCGAAAGACTGGGAGGTAAAGACGGCCGGCTTGGTTCTGACTACCATGAGTGCCAGTAGGTCTGTAGAGTATATGTTGAGCCCGCCTTCTTCTTCTTCTGCGTTCGACATCAGTTATGCTAAACATTGAGTCCCGTCTGGGTCACAAATAGGATTGTGCGTTTAAGGTTGCCACCGGTCCCCCATAGCTTCTCTTTCAATGTGGCTCCCTTGGGCCAGATCCACAGTCTTTGCTGGGAGAGGTAAGGGCAGTACTGTAGTATGTGCCCAGGGGTCTGTCTTTCTGCTCCACAATCACAGGCAGCAGATTCTTTTATGCCTATTCTGTACAGGTGTGCTCGAAGACCACGGTGTCCAGTCCGAATTCTAAAAATTGTTGTTTGTTCTTTCCTGTTTTGTTTATGCTGTCACTCTCTGGTCTGTAATCTCCATTCTGCCTTCTCCACTCCTGCTTGAAAGACTGCTTTAGTGCTGTTTTGGTTTCCTTGTAGCTGTGTGGTGGATGAGGTTGTGGAAGATTACTCCCAACTTTTGCCAACTCACTGCTCTCTCATTTCCTTGAATACCACAGTGGGCTGGTATCCACTGCAAGACCAGTTCTGCTTCCTTGGAGAGTAAGCCAATGTTGGTCCTTAGATCTGCAATTAGTTTGTCTTGTTTTTTGCTTGATAGTGCTTGGAGAACAGACTGAGAGTCACTAAGTATAACAATTTTGTGCCCTCTGCGTTCTTGATTGATGAGATGTTGGATTGCAGAAAGGAGGGCAGTTGCCTCAGCTCTAAAGTTAGTGCAGATGTCACCTGCTGGTAGAGAGAGAGTTTCTGTTCTACTGCTAGGGGGTTTAATGTATATTCCACAACACCCCTTTGTTGAGCCCTGTATGCCCAATACACCTAAAGGCATGGAAAAGGGCCTTATACTTTACTTATTTAACCACCCTCTGGTCTGAAGTAAACTACTGTGTCACAAAATAATTTTTTGTATAAAAAATGCATCACTGGCATGAACAGTTTGGGAAACTCTAGTTTTGAGCATCTTATATTTTGATGATTATTTGTTTGTGTATCTTTTAAGGCAGTTCCGGTGTAACATGAGGGAAAATAAAAGGTCGGTCACTAAGCTCAGCCTGGCTGCAGAGCGCTGCAAGCACGCTCTCTCAACACTGATTCACACAGAGTGTGCTGTGGACTCCTTGTTTGATGGTTGTGACTTCCATTACACCATGTCTAGGTTAGTGACTTACTGTTTGTTGTGATATAGCCTCTGTTTTGTCCTTTTTTTTCCAATTAAATGTAAAACTGGTGAACATACTGTTTTTTTTTTAAATATTTATATATCCAGGTTATTTTACCATCACTTGAAAAAAAAAGGGGGTGGGGTTGTTGAACTAAAATTTTAGGAAAAACACAAAGAAGAAAAAGAAATCGGGTGCATCTGCCTGAGAGCAAGGAACCAGCAGTCTGCATATAACTAAGCCAGATTTGTGAAATGGACACAAGTTTTAGAACAAGACGGGTCTAGAAGTGAAGAGACAATCAACCAGAAATGTTCACTGGAGTTTAGAGAAGAAGAAGAAGACTCAAACACTTTCCGGTGTGCCATGGTGAGATCAGCATTCTGCAAAATACCTGCTTTGTGGAGACAAAACATAGAGCAGTTATTTCAAATAGTTACATATATGTTCTTTGGGCAGTCAGTATGAGTAATGTGAATTAGGTAAAAGATTCTAAGATAAGAAGATAGCCTGTCTATCAGATATATAAGAAAATTGATGCCAAGATTGCCCTTCTCATCTTCAGGCTGTATAGTTTATTTTGTATTGTGACTAGGTTATTGTTAACTCATTTCTAGACAAATTTCTGGTACAAATGAGATCAGTCATGTGCAGTTAGAAATGACTCCATTGTTGAAATAACTTTTTTTTTTTTTTACATTATTTACATATCCTTTGCAGGACCTTGCAGAACAACCCAAGTAAATGTTGACTGTGGTTTTACTAGGGAGTTTTCATTTCAGTAGTTTGCCATTGTTTTCTGACATGTTGATGCTCATACCAGTATTGAACTTAATGTAAATTTTTCTGCTAAGTGCTAAGAGCTGAATTGAACCACAAATTACGGGATTATAAAACCACGTTCATAATCCCCAAGCCCCCAGACATAGTTATTTAACATGAAATTCTGTGCTTGTAAATCAGAGCACTATCTACCGTATCACTTTTGCTTTGCAACATTACTGTTAAGGATGTTAAGAATTGAAAAAAATATGAACGCTGGTGAGCAAAGCGTGAAGACAAACAGATTAATTTAAACACTTTATGTATACAAATTTTAAACAGAATGTTGCACAGTATTTATTTCCTGACTATTTTACTTTGTCATCAAAATATGCGATACAGAATTTACACAAGCATAATGAAGCGTGTAAATGAATCTTTTCCCCTGAAGTGCAAAAATAAGTTCCTTTGTTCCACTGTATTTATTGTCACAGAAGTCTTGTTGCTTTCTGTACGATAAAAAATAGATTCTGTGTATTCAATTTTTATTAAAGCATTGGTTTTCTTATCTTTTGGGTGTCATGTCTGTTACATTATAAACTTCTGTTTTCTGACTTCTGTGAGTTTTAATTATATTCAATAAACCGATTTTAATTGTTGTAATAAGATATTAAATTATCTTACATTCAGGTGGTGCATAGCCATAACTATTCAGGTGGTTGCATTTAATTTAACCTTACCTGTATGTGCTTTTAATGATTACCAAGGCTTTTTAAGGCTGTATTGTAAATATGTGTCATTTCTTATCCAGGGCCAGATTTGAAAGTTTGTGTCTACCGCTGATGGTCAGATGCACAAGTCTAATTGAACAGGTTCTCCAGAAGGCAGGATGCGGCAAGGAGGACATTGCTAAGGTGCATTATTATATGTGTTTATGTGTGTGTAGATTGGGAGCATTTTCATGCCATGAGGGCCAATGGGTATGTGATGCTAGATCCAGTTTTATATCCAGATCAGCATTTGATGGGTGACATGGTCAGTGTCTTGCAGGATGCTATTACTTTCCACAGACATTTTCTGCTACTAATTTAAGTTAGATCAGCCTGGGAGCAGAGGTTGATGTTTGTTCAAATCCCCGCCTCAGTGGAGATTCGAACATGCAGTCTTATGAAAATTGTGGGCAGACAACATAACGACTTTAAAAAAAAAAAAAAGACATTTTCATAACCAAGGCTTCACATCTAGTTTTAGGCTTAGTGCCTCCAAGGTATCTACCTCAGGAGGAACAGTAAATAAGGTTTTATGATCCTTCGGAGACTGAGCAATGGGCAACGTTTTAACTGTCAAAATAATTTGGACTGGAGAATGTCCACAACCTCTAACCTCTTATGGTCACAATAAAAGATGCCCATACACCACCAAACTTAGTGACAAAACCACTACTAAGAACAAGTATTGATCACTGGAGGTGCTGTATTAATAAACTAAAACATACCTATAATCTAGTATGACCATGAGGCATCAGGAAAATATAATGCATTAATTATCACGTGCAGAAAATCAGCGAGAAGTGAGAATCAGTTGTTTTTTTCCAGCGAGAAATGTTAATTTTTTGTGGGGTGTTAATCTTGATCTTTTGGCAGTTTTTTGTTTTGTCTGTTGAAATTCTGGGTGTAACTGTTGAACCTATTCTTAGCAGTGCTGCATTATTTGTGCATTTTTTATCAACATATCTGACTTCCAAGCAATATTTCACTGTTATGAATTTAGACACATAAGATGCAAACAATAGATTGCACAATTTATTGCCTGGCATATTTTGCTTTATCTTGTTAGGTGCATACCACAGTAAGAATTTATTAAATGAAGCAAATAAATGAATCCTTGGAACTAAAACATAAAGTCGACTACATTCACAGCCTCTCTCTGTTTCATCAGGGTAACTGCAAGATGAAGAGCATGTCCTTTTGTATGCATAATGCTAGACTATTTCGGTTCCACAAATCTCAGTAATCTACGGCTGGCTAAGGTGTAAATAATTTGAAATGCATCATCCTTGTTTCTGGGCACATTGTGTAAACCTGATGAGATACAGAGAAATATGCCAGACAATAAATTGTGCAATCTATTGTTATATGTGACTTCTTATGGAACTTGTTGGCTTCTCTTTCCCTTGTGGGATTAATCTTATTTGCATTGAATCTCAAATCTTCTCTCACCTCCTGCCACCCTCCAGCTCTGCAGTTTGGAGATCACTGTCCTCAGCCTTCTATGCCTGTTAATAATTTTTTCTTGTACTGCCCAAATGTTTTAGTAATCCACAGATTATGATTTCATTGTTTTTATTACCAGGTGGTTATCTGTGGTGGAGGAGCTAAGCCGCCTATCGTCAAGAAGGCTATTGGGGACTTTCTGTCTTCATCATCCTTCATTAACAGTATACCAGAAGATGAGATCATTGCTATTGGAGCAGCAAAAGAGGTAATTATACTTTCTTCTTTCATCTAATTAGTGACAGCTGGAATATAAAAATTAAAGATCACTACACTGATAAAGATCTGTTATATAAAGGTGGGAGTTGATGGTTTTTGTCAGCATACTACCATTTTACTTACATTACTACCCTATTCATGCAACTTTTCCATGTGACAGCCTATCTCAAGGTTTTTATGTGGTGTTTGTTAATAAAGGCTTTAGTCAAAATGTTCACTTGTTTCTTTCACCCTTCTATTCATTTTATAGACTTTATTGTTAAAGTGTTCATTTTGCCAACTGCAATCCTGTAGTCACCTTATTTTCATTACTGCTCTTTCATCATTTGATAATATCTTGTCAAAAAGGTATGGGTGTTCATATATCTCTTGACCACTGAGTAAAATTTTGAATGTCGGTTAATGTAGCGACATTCCTCCCTGTCATAGTAGAGTATTTAACATTAGTAAATTAACTACCTGATGTTCCTTGTAGAAAAGAACAACAAAGCAAAGGGGACCACAATTATAACCAAGGCTTGCTAAGAAGCTAGGTTAAATGTAGTTTTAAAATAATTTTTAAAAGAAGGCAGGAAAAACATTGTGCGCTTTATTCGATCTCTCACTCTATTATGTATTTGTTTTGTCCAGTAACTTTATCTGTGGCATTTATATAACCTTATATGAGGGGAAGTCAATAAGTAAGTCAAAAATGGTTGTTTAAAAAAAAAAAAGACAATAACAACTTTAACAACTTCCATTATTTGTTTCCACCAACATTGATGCACTTGTCCCATCGTTTTTTTTTTTTTTCAATCCTCCCAAACCTGCCCCAAAGAACCATGTGCTCTGTTTTCTAAACCGCATGTTCACTTCACATTCAGCTTCTATGTCATCCGTAAAATGTCTCTCGTCAAGGTGGGTTTTCAGTGGACCAAAAATGCAGAAATTGCTACGGAGGCTAAGTCAGGGCTGTAAGGTTTTCCTGATAAAACCAGAAGTTCTCACCCTAGATTAAAAATTTTCTACTGAGTTCACCAAGTCATATGTAATCTGGCATTGTCATGAAGGAGCAGTACTCCTCTAGGCAGCAGGCCTAGACGTTTTCTTTGAATGGCATCATGAAGCATCCTTAAAAATATTTTTAGCTCAGCTAAGCCCCGCTTAACATTTGTCAGCATAAACAGGAAGCATTTCTTTATGAATGTCTCTTTCAAACAGCCTTTTTGCGCCCCCCCCCACCCCCTTTCCAAATGCACAGCAGCACGTTGTTCTTTAAGGGTACACTAAGTAAAGTTGCCATTTTGTTTGTGTGTTCCGAATGCATTTGCAACACCTAGAGCCACCTAAAGAATGGAGACTTAAAGTTTGATGTTGCTGTCACCTAATGACATCTTTAGAAACCACCAACTACATTTTCCTGCCATCCCATAAACATTTGTGACTTACCTATTGGCTTCCCCTAGTATTTAAGGAAATAAGAGTGCTATTTTTCCTCGGTGAAATCATTTACTTTCAGGCTGCCATACTTGTGGGTAGTAGCGTATCAGAGAATGCTGGCACTCAAAAACAGCCACTGAATACCAGCTTCAAGATTTTACCAAAGTCTGTCTGTATAAAGGTATAGTTAGGTTTTTTTTTTTTTAAATTTATAGTATCTTGTTTGACGAAGAGACTGAATGAACAGAGTTGCTGAAGGACATGTAAAAAGACAAGTGAAATATCTCAGCCACATTGAAAGCCGTAACACTGTTTTATAAACCATACTGGAGGAAAATGTTGAAGGCAAGACAGCAAAAGACAGACGGCGTAACAAGTGGCAGGAAAACACCAAAAGATGGATGAATAGAAATCTCATATAGTGTACATCCAGGGCAGAAGTCAGCATGTTGGAAATCCACGTCAACCTTTATTGTGGAGTTGGCACCTGATGGATTGATATTATTTGATAATTTTAGATTACGTTTTATATCAACCTTCCTTTTTTTTTCCTGTCTGTTTTAAATTGTGATAAAATGCTTCTTTTCTCAGTCTTTTCAGTAATTTTTTTAAAATTCTTCTGTAACATTTATACTGAAAGTCACATATCAGCTTTTCAACCAATATGTTAAATGTAATTTTTAACAATAATATAGAATTTATTTTATATATTCACACAACTGTCTAAACAAACTGCTCTACACATGCACTCACACATATATGGTACTTTACACAGTGGGAGCTGCAGTAGTGTTGTGGCTAAGCACTCTCCAGATCTAGTGTTTAACTCTTCCAGACAGCTGACCCGATTTTTCAGGAATTTCATAACCTGACGCTATACCGCTGTCCCTAGTTTTCGGCTATTTGCGTACTACGAGAAAAAGATGCATCACAGACTAAAAATAACTAGCCAATCGTCATCAGACCTCGTGGATAGTTAGTCTTCCCAGGTGTCCACCTGCACGTGTTTGGATTAAATTTGTGTTGTTTTACCTGAAAAATTCTGAAAATTACAATAAAACGAGCGGCTAATAAACCAAGCACTTCAGGAAAGTGAAGTAGGTCTAGGATTTTCACAGTCCAACAGGTGATCGATACTGTGCGGAGTCATAATTTCATGAAGAATATGTTCACAGTTGAAGTGAGAGAGTTCGAATAATGAGGAGAGTCTTGAAAATTATAAATCTAGAAATAGATTGATAGTAGGAGAAGGGGACGTGTCCCTCAAACAGCAACATCTGGTATTCACTTTGTGAAACAAGGCTAATCCTGCTGAGTGGGTTGTTACACAAAGGTGGAATATTGGCTCTAGATGAAAGGTTGACTTGTTATCTACAATGTCTCCCAATTTTCAACTTATTCTAACCGCTTGTTTGCATGTAATTAATATTTTTGTATATCATGTTGATTTGTTCACGTTGATGCCTAGGAGCTTAGGTATAGGGGGCAGTTAGGTTCAGGATCTCAGGTCTGGTAGGGTTAAATCTGCATAGAGGTTTTTTTTTAAAACTGATGTGAGCTTCCAGGTTTAGTTCTAATTGGGCTTCAGATAAAGTCTTTGGAAGTGAGGGTTTGTAGCATGAAATTGACCACATCACCAGCTTAGCTGCTGGTATAGAAAGGGCCCTTTACAGTAACTTGTTCCCGTAGGACACAGTTTCTTCTAGAGATGCAAATGTAATGGTCAGTTTGCCAAGACAGATAGAAAGCAAACCTTTTCCCCTCACTAGTCAAGACTCTTGCCCTGTCATGAATTAAAAGCAAGGCAGGGGTCTCCTGTCTTGTGTATCCAAACTGCCTAGCCCTACATTGGCAGTAAGATGTTCTAAATATGGGATTTAAATTGTTCTCTTTAGTATTTAAAAAAAAATTACAATTTAAGCTGATGGAACTTTCAACTTTTCTCGCTAATTTGCAGGTGTCTAAAGATGAGCTGGAAGTAGTCCTCCCACAGTACAGTCTGGCACCAACACGACGGCAACACACTTTAACTCTTTCCTCATCTCAGACATCCATAGTCATGGAGATCTACCAGGCGGATGATCCTGCAGACATGGAGTCTGCTAGTCTGGTTGCTAAGGTGAGAGCTTTATTTGATCACTATGGTTGTTGGAGAAAGGGAGGTGGTAGTTTATTCATAATTGTCCCTTATGGGTTCCAGGGCCCCATTTTGAGAGGAAAATGAATAAACCCACTGTCCCCTAAAAGGCGATAAGTATTGCAGTCTAGCTGTAAGTCGTAACACAGTGTACCAACCACCCTTTTAAACGCAAATGAAGAAGTTTGTACAGGGAGTCATGAACATGTGTACTACAGACCAGAACAAGCTTCATAAAAGTGGCTACGAGAAAATCCTCTGGGAAGGATAGGCATGAGCAATGGAACTGATCACTCCATCTTCATTGAGTTGGATTTTTTTTTTTTTTTACTTCACCTTGTATATCATTGCTGAAACTTATTTGAAGGCTCAACATTTCACACCCCAACGGCAGTAACTGCTATTTGTTTATTTAATTATAAAAAATTAATCATAATTAATGGAGGTGCTGCCTCGAGCTGCAAGAAATGAACATTTCACCAAGGGGATGAGACTTTAATTCATCAACACAGAACACGGGTCATCAGTCATTTTATTCTTGTGGAGCTTTTGAAGAAGAGATCGATGCACCTATGAGCCTGTCTGGAGTTTTGTGAGGCTAATCCTTACTAATCAGACATATAGACATCAAGTTAACTAACTTTATCAGGTTGTGTATATTAAACAAGTTGGTAACATTTATATCTGCAGAGGGAAGACTCCTATGTTGACTGTTTAAAACGCTAACCAGAACATGTAAAATCCAGTTTATTTTTTTTTCTAAAAGACACATACCATACAAAATGTAATAGATCAGGGGTTCTCGCTTACATAAGATCTACATACACCTCTTATTTTTAAATGTGTGCCTCTGACCCCATACTTTTTAATAGTCATGTTAAAATAAAGATTACATTTATGTTAGAACCACCACATAAACAACAAGGAGAGGTGGGGACTTTTTTTAAATATTTTTTAATTATGTGTTTAAAAAATGTCAGTGACTCCTAAATTTGTCCCCCGGCCCATTAATTGGATACCACTGAAATAGAGGATTTTAATCCATTGAAAATTCATCTGCTAGTCATTATCGTTCTCTGGAACTGACAGTGGAGTTTGATGACAACAGAGTTATTCATTATGCTTCTCCTCTACAGATGGTTTTGAAAGACTTACCTCCTGGATCAACTGTGAAGTCGAATTTCCACTTGAGAAGGTAATAATTGCATTGTTAGTGTGTACTTTTGTTTTGTTGTTTAAAGAAAGGCCAAGTTTTTAAGCTGGTTCACATTATTAATCACAAATGAAGTCTTATTATTGCTAATTTTTAAATGTTTGTCCACTTCAGCTCTTTGTTTTCAGTTGAGTACAGCCTTGTTATCCTGCAGCTCCCTCTGTATCCTTTCCTTATTCATCTCTGTCCACTACTGGCTTCCCTTATGTCAGATCACAAGAATACGGCTGTACTGTTGTCGTTTTTTCAAGTAATCTAGCCAACATTTCTAGCACAGTTGTGAGATTGGGGAGGGGGCATACACTTTGTACAAAAGATGCAGAAACGTGCCTTTTAAAACTGCAGTTGGCAGAAATATAAACGCATAGCTTTCTTTACAAACGCATCTGCTGTGTTGTGAACTGACATCACAGCACTTGGAATGTTCCTATCAATGGTCCAAACCCATCTAGAGCAGCCTGGGCAGAGTTTCAGTTCTGATAGTATTAGCAGCAGTTTGATTATATGTCCATCTTGCCTTTCCTCTGCATGTTGATTGTCGATCAGCTCCCCCTAGCCACTCGCCATTGCACCATTCTATCCATGCCATGATAATATGTTTACATTTTCGCGCTTGCGCTGTTGTACTGAGGACTCAGAATAGAGCATGACTAACAGACTTGATAGACATGATGCGTTGTTTGGTACTGAAACAGTAAGTGAAGTACTCATTCCATGCCAGTGGTGCAGATCAGGTATATGGTGCCAGGCCCATATTTGTACAGGTCAGTGGGAACTCAGGGGGACCTAATAGCAGCATTCCATGTGAAATAAAGGACGCTTTCCTTGCCTTTAGGCGTAGGGCATGTAGGACTAGACCTATATTTTATAGACCAGTCATCATTTGATGGTTGATGTGGTCAGCATCATGCCGGTCACTTTTACTTCCCAGGACTGCTTTGTACCTATTCAAGGTTAGGTTGACCTGGGAGTCGTTTTTGAAAAAAATATGTCTGGTGCCGTCGGAACCGCAGGTGAACGTCTAGATGCTCCACCCAGATGTTAAAAAGAAAAAAAAAGTGTTTAATACATTTCTGGAAGTGATGTGTTAATAAATAAACGAAGGCAATTCAGACAATACCATAGCCTAATATAGACATAACATTGACAAGGCCAAGAAGTTTATATGAAGCACCTATAGGACCAAATCAAATCAGAGCATTCAGCATAGAAATAATGCATGATGTAAACTCCACCAAAGTGAACAAGCAGTTGAGTTTGCAGGACATAAAATGCTATTTGATTTTTTTTTTAAACTGATATAGCATAGATATTGGTGTTTTTTCTGAAAGTTGTAAAATGGCAGACATTTGTTGCGGAGAACTTTTTTAACCCATACCTACTGCTTTTAAGAGCAAACAATTTCAGCAAGTTCGGTTGAGCTTTACTTTTCAGTACAAAGTGGAGGAGAAACAGTCAGCTTAATTTTCAGTTGGAGGGCATATATTTATTGGACAGGATAAATGTATACAATAAAATGACATGACAGAATAGTGCAGGCAAAGGCAGAAGCATTAAAAACCTTCTGTCTAGCTTATTCCTGTTTGTGGGTGGTAGGAAATACAGTTTATGTTGCCTATGCTACTGAACACTCCTGCATCAGAGGCACTGCATGTTTTAGCTAGTGGAAGAGACCACAGACAAAAATGATGCAGTTTCTGCATAATAAAATGACTGTGGGCAGTTATGAAGACAAGTATCCAAGTATAGAATGCTTCACTGATGAGGGTGAAGTGCTTATGGGATTGCGCCAAGTGCTGTGATGTTAGTGTTCAGCTCAACACATCCAGATCTGCTGGAGACCAGTTTACCAAGATGTTTAGTACTAATTAAAGAGTAAAAAAAGTAAAGTAAAGATCCCTTTTCACGCCTTTCCGCGCATCGGGCATATGGGCAGAGCGTCCCATATTTTTACAGACCATCAGCACTCTGTGGGTAATGTCGTCAGCATTACGCCGGCTGTCTTTACTTTCCCAGGACAGCCCATCCTGGTACCCATTTTAGGCTGGGTCGACCTGCGATTAAAAACACAGCATTTAATTTGGTGTTTTTTTTCTGTGTGTCAGCTAAATAATCAGCTGAGATGGTCCATATAAGTTTGTGACAACCAATAAGTGTTGGAGACATAAGAGATAACATGGTGGGTGGTTTAGAGTGGCACAGAAGATAATCTGAGGTTTGAACTCATCAAGCACCCAAGAGTAGAGTTTTGAGGGGAAGAAGCATGACCACATGTGCTGCGCTCAGCATAGGACGTGATCATACTGAAACCTAATCTTAAGTTAACATCTTGAAATTGGTGTTGGCTGAAAGGAACAAATGCAATGACATTCTGGTGGTAATTCCAGTGCAGTCTCTTCAAGATATTTGAGGGAGAGAGAAAGAAAAAAAGGGGGAGGGGTGTATTATACATTAATTAGCATCAATTCAAAGGTAGCAAAATACAGACACATCAGCCTGCTTAAAATTCATAGTTAGGCCATCCTAATAATGGTTATAGGGAGCTGTGTAATCCTGTAGTGGCTAGATGCTAGTTTACTGGCCTGAGGATGTTGCACAGTGGCTCCTAGGTTGAACTAACCTAAATTTGTGCTAGGAAATTATATGAAAAGCAAATGTGGCTGGCATGTTGTTGACCATATTACCCATTGAGTACCAATTAATGTATAAAAATCTAGACCTGGCACCAAATGCCTGAAATTAAAGGCCATGAACTAGAACTGTTGGAACAATGCAGATAATTAAATTCATTAAAAAGCAAAGACTATAATGGTTTGGTCATTTAATGAGAAGGAATCCAGTGATGCCAGCAGTGAGAGTGTACATGAAAGCAAAAACACCAAGAGCTAAGGAACCACCAAGAAGATAGACTGATATTTTGAGACTCTACAGCATAACAGCACACGGGGCAACCGAGCGTGCCATAGCTTGGAAACTGATCATCTATTAACCTGTGATGCCCAGCAGCTGAAAGCAGAAAATAGACAAAATAAAGAAAGTAACGTATTCTTATTCTGTTGTTTTATTAGGGAGGGAGACCTTCATGTGACGTGCAATGAAGTTACATCTGACAAGTGCGAGAGCGTGATCATCCCCTGCCACTGATGTCTGTACAGAGTAGACAGCTTTGTACTTGTGTTGATTGTTTGTTGACATTGTGTTTTTCATTTTAAATGAGTGTGAATGGACCTGGTGTGTGTACAGAACATTTTGTTTGATTTCTTCCCTGTTATACTGTTGGTAGAAAATATGTGCTACTGACAGCTTAGTGTATGTATTGTTTCTCTTATTCACTAAAGTCAGAAGAGCAGATGTATTCACCCTGTTACATGTATAAGATCCCAATAGTGAGATGTGTTCGCCATTTTATGTGCTGCACTCAAAAGGGATGGATACGAAATGGCAGTAGCCATTGCTGCCTGTTAAAGCAATGGATCAAAAACTGTTCCTCCCTTTCCATGAAGCTTAATTACAGATGTGGAAATGGATGATAATGAAGAGATATTACGTTTGTATGTGAATCAAAAAGTGTGGCTATCATTGCACATGTGGATCCATTCGTACATAATCACTGTCTGTATTCTCTGCACCTGTAACAGTTGTCATCTGTGTGCGAGATGGAGAGCTCTTCTCGTTTTTGTGCCTAAAAACAGGCTAGATTAATAAAGTATGCTTGCATCTTTACAATGGTCTCCCTGTGTTGTCAGCATGTGTTTTTAGTGACCGAAGATTATAAATGTGGTTGCACATTAACTAGACTCTTGCCAGTTGGCTGGAGATTCTTGGGTGCTAATCAACACCAACAGATTTGTGTGTGTGTTATTAATTAACCGTCTTCTCTTTCTCTCCTCTCCCCCCCCCCCCCCCCCACTATGATCTAGCATAAAATTGGTTACAGAAAATATGGGAAGTAAAAATGGCTGGTGAGAATTTGATCACATGTTTTCATAGGCCAGATATAATTTAAAATGTGTTGTGGTGAACATGACATCACACACAAAGTGCTATCTGGCAGCATACGCCTATTACACCAGTACCATGAAATATTGTCATTTACTTAATCTATATTAATAAAAATGTTAATTTTCTGATGTCGTTAGCTCTAAACTCGGAAACTACTGAACCGATTGCTTTCATATTTGCACACAATGTTGCCTCTGACTCAAAGCGTAATTTTTTGTCATAAAATCACACAAATCACAACTGATGTAGCTCCAGCAACGGTCAAAACATTATTTGTTTCATTGCCCACCCTGATTTATTTGTAATCAATTGGCCACCTTTGACCGTGTAACGCCAAACTTCACATTATTACTATACACTTTCATTTCTACTAAATGCTTGTGTGTTTAGTAGCGTAGTTAGTTGTAAGCATTTTTCATTTTACTCGGGTGATCGGGGTTCGATTCCCTGCTGAGTAATATAATGGGGGGGGGGGCTAACTGGGTGGCTGCCACGTTTTGTTGTGGTTTTTAGCTAGGCTGCAATATCTACGCTTTTTCGGTAATCTACGCTCAATGTTCATGTCACTGGTAATATTCATTCGCCCTTGAAAGGGCAGTTGGCACCTTGTGTTGTGGTTTACAGCTAGGCTGCGATTTCTGACCTAAAGTCTCCGATTGGCACGTTGTGTTGTGGTTTACAGCTAAGCTGCAACATCTGCGCCTTACGCCCAAAGACAATCCGATTTCAGTACAGTCCAAATAAGCCTCCCCCCGACGCTTCACTCGATCAAAACTGTTCGTTGATGACAGAAACTGTTAACTAAGAAGGCTTACGGTCCAGTTTGGTTTGGGTGGTCTCAGATGCCAAGGTTAGTTAAACATCGTCCCTTCGGAGAGGGAGATATGACGAGTGCGGGTTTTTATTTCCGCTATTTGTGAGTATAGTGTACTTTTTTTTTTTAATCACAGAATTTTATGTCGGGGACACACTTAAACTAAACAGTCCGTGGCGACAGCATGCGGCGCCAACTCCTCTGGCTTCAACTACCTGTACAGACTGTAGTAACCGTTTTGTGTTGTTGTTGTGAATGTGGTAGTGGTAGCAGTAGTACTGGTACTCGATGGGTGATGTGGTAGCTGTTATACTGGCCACATTTACTTCTCAGTACAGAACAATGCTACCCATTTTTGTCTGGGTGGACACGGATGCATAGCGCAATTTAACAACAATATTTCGTCAGGCGATGACTCTCCCATACTTCGTAGAGGATGATATGATTGTCGGGGGGGGGGTTACGGGGAGTTGATGCCAGACAATGTTAACTGAAAGAGCTTAAAACATTTTTTTTACAGTTCTCAGTTCTCAACTATTTCTATTTTAACAATGTCGCCACATACTAATGTTTCAATCATTTGGAGAGGGAGATATATTTAGGCAGATGCTTGAGTCCTTGGTAGCGTAGTTGTATATTTTGCGTGTTACGTGGGTGACCGGCGATCAATGCCCCGCTGGGTGATTAAATATTTTTTTTGGGGCCCTTAACTAGGCGGCTGGCACGTTGTGTTGTGGTTTACAGCTAGGCTGCGATATCTACATCTTTTTTTCGCTCGATTTGGGGGTTTACAGCTGGCCTGCGATGGCGGCAATGTGATGTTAGTCATGTCACGGGTAATCTTCGTTCGCTCTTGAAAGGGCGGTTGGCACATTGTGTTGTGGTTTATAGCTAGGCTGCGATATCAGACCCAACCTCTTCAGTCTTAGGCAGTATAGTTGTAAGTATGCCGCCCTTCCCGCGGTTGACCGGTGTTCGATTACCCACAGGGTGCTAATTTTTCTTTTTCTTTCAAGGGGGTTGTTGGCATTTTGTATTGTGGTTTACAGCTAGGCTGTGATATCTGCACCTTGCCCCCAAAGACATCCGATTTCAGTAAAGTCCAATTTATCCTCCCCGCGACGCTTCACTCGATCATAAACTATTTGTTGATAACAGAAGCTGTTAACTAAGACTGCTTACAGTCCAGTTTACTTTGGGTGGACACGGATGCCAAGGTCCTTTAACATTCGTCCCTTCGGAGAGGGCAGATGACAGGTGGTTTTTTTTATTTCTGCTATTTGTGAGAATAGAACGAACTATTACTTTGGGTTCCATCACTGGTTAGGTGATGGAGTTTTTTTTCTTTCTTTCTTTGTTGGGAGCTCAATTACACTAAACAGTCCGTGGCGACAACATGCGGCGCTAACTCCGCTGGCTACACCGACCTGCACAGACAGTAGTGACTGTTTTTTGTGTTTGTTCTGAAGGTGGTGGTGGTAGTGGTAGCAGTAGTACTGGTACTGGATGGGTGATGTGGTCGCTGTTACACTGGCCACATTCCCTTTTCAGCATACGATAATGCTATCCATTTTTTTCTGTGTGGACACGGATGCATAGCTCAATTTAGTTACAGTATTTCGTCAGAGGATGACTTTCCCATCCTTCGGCGAGGATGATATGATTGGGGGGGGGGGGGGGGGTTGATAGCAGACACTGTTAACTGAGAGACCTTAAAACATAATTTTAAAGATATCATTTCTTAACTATTTTTATTTTAATAAGTGATGATTTTTTTTATTCCTTCGGAGAGGGAAATATTTAGGGGGGGGGGGGGGGGGGGGGGGGGGGGGGGGGGGGGGGGGGGGGGTTATGCCAGGACACTGTTAGTTGAGAAAGCTCAAAACATTATTTTCAAGTTCTCATTTCTCAACTATTTCTATTTTTATACTTTCGCCTGGGATGATTTTTCAATCCTTCGAAGAGAGAGAGATGGCTGGATGGAGGGGAGAGGGAAGGGGGTGAGGGTTATGACAGACACTGAGAGCTACTTTCTTTCTTTTCCATTTCACTATTCGGGAGGGCAGGTACGAGGTCAGTTACTAGAGAACATCATAGCCATGTACCACACAAGGCACTGTGCTGTAAGAACACAAGAAGGCATATCAGATATGTTCACAGTCAATACAGGTCTGAGACAGGGATGTGTGCTCTTCTAACTTCTATTTAACATTTATATAGACAGAATATCTAAAGAAGCAAGTTTTGATACAGACAACATAGATCTTTATAATCATGAGGAAGTACACACATCAGAAGAAGTAAACTATTCAGCCACATTGAACGAACTACTATTTACTGATGACCAGTGCTTGTTATACCCTGTAGAAGACTGCAAGACCACATCAAGAGGTTAAACTTGGCATGCAGTAAATACAACATAAAGATCATTGCAAACAAACCCAAAACATTGCAAGTTAGTAGAACCCCTGGCCCTCTACACATACAGCTGAATGGTTTTTATTCTAATCAGGTTAGGGAGTTTAAATAGCTGGGAAGTATGATCACAGAAGATGATAGAATTGAGAAATAGAAACCGGATGTCAGAAAGCAAGTGCACTTATATACCAATTGTCACCATTATTAGGACTTCCAAGCATAACTATGAATGCAAAGAAATAGATTATAAACAGCATATTTATTCCAACATTAGCTACCAGTGCCAAACATGGACACTATCTAAAGCCTACTTGCGCAAAATCACCACCTGCGAGAAAAGATGCCTGAGAAAAGCAGCCAACCCAACTATCCAAGATCAAGTGAATAATGACACTGTCAGACAAATTATGGGAACGACACCTTGTACTAGATTCATCAAGAAACAGCAGATCAAGTGGTTTGGCCATCTTGTTAGAATGCAGCAAGATTAAATACCATCACAAGCACTACATCTCAGAAGATCAGCTACAAAAGCTGAAAACATGGATCGACAACATTAAAGACAATCTACACTTTCACGTCATGACAATAGCCAGCGTGCACTGTATTGAAAATTATTCCTTTCCATGAAGTTTAACGACAGAAGTGATTTATGATGATGATGATATATTTATATGTGTGTGTATATATATATATTATATATATATATATATATATATATAATATATATATATATATATATATATAGTATATATATATATATATATATATATATATATATATATATATACTTGTGCCAGTCACTTCTGTTCTCTGTACAGTCGTTTTTGTTTTACATCATTGGAATGACTGCAGAGTCATGCCACAAAGATTCATTTTGTCATAGTTGCAGGGAAAAAGATCTGCGAGC